GTGCCCATAGCTGCCCTTTGGAGCTCAGGGTTGGGTTTCTCTTCTCTGCTTGAGGAATTGGGGCTTGCTGTGAGCTGCTTGCTCTGATCTTCTAAATACCATCTGTGCTCTGCTCCTTCTGGGCTTGCTCAGGCTGCACTCACCCAATGGTACTGTGTAGAGGTGCTACTGAACATGTATTGTCCTCTTTCTCCCCTTCTTTCTTCATCTCTTTGTTGCATTTTTTAAAATCACATTAATTTGCCTTGATATGCTGGAGTTTCTGCAGTTTTCTTCTATTGCCATGAAACCATGCCTGAACAAGACCTCACCAGCTGGGTGATGACAGAGGATCCTTCGGGGAACGTACAGAGCTTTCGAATGGCTGCCAGAGACGCTCAGCCTCGTGTCATCCAGCACAAACCTGGATTCACAAATTCATACAAAAAAATCACCTTTTCTGGTCCACAGCATCTTGAGTCATTCTCAGGAATGTCCTCACTGCTCCTTGGGCTGAAGGTGCCATACAAGATCCATCAGTCTGTCTGACACCAGAACAGTGTCCCCATCACAGCCCTGGCATGCCTGGGAGATTTAAGCTTTATCCCACACCCACAGGACAAATTACCAAAGTTTCTTTGCAACACCTGAAAAACACTGAGCTTTCCCCAAAGAGTCTGGGTTAAACACAGAGATTTCTCACTGGGGTTTATGTTTTAGGGATGGGACCCGCAAAGCACATCAGAAATGATGCACATGGGGCCCAAGCAACTCAACTTAAACACACAACTTTGTTGTGAGGAACAAAGCACAAAGCAATGTGGTTTTGCTGAAGATTTAAATTTGAGAGATTTTGTTTTTCTCCCACATTCCTGGAAAATAACATTTGATAACTCTAAATAATAGATTACTTTAAGGAAATCATTGTCTTATCTTGCAGTGGTCAGATTAATTTTCTTTTGTACTAGATATCTGCCTACAGCAGATGTGGATATATTAAAGAAATATATATATTATATGTATATATATATATATATCTTTCTGCTGGCCACACACCTTGGCATTCAGAGTCACTTTGTGTGACTTCTTCTGTTCTTATTCATGGTAAAATTAAAAATAAAATTATTTATTTAAAAATGAGATAACTGCTTTTCACATTATCCACTACAGATTATCTTTACATACTCTATTCTATTCTATTCTATTCTATTCTATTCTATTCTATTCTATTCTATTCTATTCTATTCTATTCTATTCTATTCTATTCTATTCCATTCCATTCCATTCCATTCCATTCCATTCCATTTATATTTAATCTACACATATTTGAATAAAATCCTCTTGAGAGAGAAATGGGTCTTGCTACTTCTTCCCTTCTCACGTACTTCTTTAAATAATCCTCCATCAGCCCCCCAACTTGCCCTCCATTTTCTAACACAACTTCCTTCTGCAGGAAGATTTCCGTTCTCCCATCTCCCTTCTTGAAGCAGCCCTTGGCTCCTTGATGCTGAGGCTGCAGGTTTATAGTAGAAAGTCCCTCGACCCAGGGCACTGCAGGATGTCTTTGCCGCAAGGACACATTGATGGCCCCCACAACCCTTGCGTCCTTCTCTGCCAAGCTGTTCTGCCAACTGTCCTAGTCCAATGGAAATTCCCTACCATGGCCAGGACCTGGCATTTTCTGTCACAGAGTTTTGGGTGATTTCAATCTACCCATTTGGGATGCCACCCTGGACAGCAAGGAATAAAACCAATGGGAAGGACAGAGGAGTTGGAAAGAAAGGTGCCATCTTAACATGCTGTCTGTTATCGCCTGCTTTTGTTTCAATTCCGTTCACTTTCAGACATTTTGTGTGTGTTCTGAAACCACAGGAGAAACCAAAGTGCTTAGGGTTGACTTATCTGTGAGCTTCTGTCCCTTCAGAAGTTTGCCTCCAGCAGCAGGAGTTGCATCAGCTGGGCACTTCCAAGTGCCTTGAAACTGCATGAAGAAGGATGGAAACCTCCCAAATTACTGGGAGGAATACCCGCTCCAAGGAGGTTGAAGAGATGATGCCATCCCCATTTGGAGGCATTTGGGTAATTGCACATGTCCTTGGGAAGAGAATAAAACATGGAGCTTCACTATCTTTTGTTTGCTTTTGGTGTTCTGTCCACGAGCAGCACAGAAGCTCCACTGCTGGAGCTCAGAGCCTGAGACAGAAGCAGCTGCATATCTCTGAAAAGGTTTGAAAAGAGGTGGGTGAAGGTATTTTGTCACAAAATAGGGATTCCTCTTTTGCTTTGTGAGTCCTGCAGTTTTTCCACCTTTCAGCTGAGACCTTTCTTTTCTTAATAATAAAAACATTGAATAAAAGCACAGAAATAGCAAAAGTGGAACGTTAATTATGTTATTAGTTTCCAGCAGAGTAGGTTTGGTCCATATATCTCCATTGCAAATACTGGAAGTTCAGGAACACAGCCAAATGTTGGCAGGACTGAGACTGGTTTGGTTTGAGAGGAGGGCAGGCAAGAGCAGAAGAGAACACTTCAGTTTTACTTTCAGTTTTGTTTGATATATACTGTCTGCTGGGGCAACTTTAAAACAATTCATCCAAATGTAATGGATATGTGTTGATTTCTGACTCAGGATGAAGAGCAGCCAGACCCCAGCACATGAGGAACTGATGTGGTGTGAGGCTCCTATGCTGCAGGGGCAGCTCCAGCACTTGGTGCTTGCAGTCTGAACCCCATCAGCCTCCTTTCTTTGCTTGTTTTACAACTCCCTTTGAAAAGCCATTTTGCATCCTGTACTCCATAATTAAAGCCTCCCCAGGATGGATGCATGCAGACTGAAAAGCAGGGTATTTCTGACCACTGTAAAAATGGGGTTCTGAAAGGCTTCCCAGCAAGCAGCCAGAGCAAAAGCCATCCCGTGTAAGACAGCACAAGGCAGAGATCTGGCACCCACTTACCAGGAATAGGACCAAGCAGGGATTTAATTACTAAAACACAAGAGAGCCTCCATCAGCCTCCATCAGAAAGGAGCCCTGGGGTTTGGAGGCTTTGGGATCACCCTCCCTGGAGGGAGTCCCCCAAAAGCCAGGCACAATGCAGTGCTGGGAGATGAGCACAGCCAGCCATTCGGGGCGAGGGAATGGGCCACCCTAGAAGGAGAACACTTTTATTGACAATGTATTGACAATTTTGTGTAATTAAACACTGTGTGTATTTAAATAAACTTCATGTGAACAGTGTTCTCGTTCTCACTGTTATTTCCTCAGATCACATTCAGTTGTCTCGCCAGGCAGCCTCAGAGCACACCTCTCACTGGAGGAGAAACTGCCCCAGAGTGCGGTGTCCTGCTCAGTCTTGGCTTCATCCCCATCACCAAGAGCACTTTTAAAAGTGTGAGTGACAAAGTGAGACAAGCCTTGCTTGCACTGCGAGCTCCTCACTGCCTCTTCCCTCCCAGACGTCCCCTTCCTAATTCATTGCTGTTTCTTACCCTGCTGTGGCTATTGGCATCCTACAGCAAGGTCCCCAAACTCTCTGTTTCAGAAATGGTCATTCCAGGACATCAGCACTTGGTTGTTTCACATCCCAGTCAGTGTTTACCTGCTCTCTACTTATCCATAAATTTTCTGGACTGTTTGTGATGAGTATGTAACACAGAAACCAAAATGAATTCATTGCCTTTGAAAAATGTGTATACCAACATGTACACACCTATACTATGAGATGTTCGGGTCCTTTTTAATGATATTGGCTCACATAGTGGGAGATATTGTTATATTTTAAAGCTATAGGCAAACAGTCTGTGATTTGTTCTACACTTAAAGGAAAAAAGAAAAAAACAAACAAACAAACAACCACCACCACAAGAGGAGACAGTGCTAGATGTGGTTAAAATTGTGCAGACTGTGGTGAAAGAGAAGATGGAGGAGCAGGCTAATGGTGATGGAGGGAGATCATGAGCTCTGTAACACCTGATTTCTCCCCTGCTTTCCAGCAAGACAGCTCTGCTCACCCTGTCCAATCTGAAGGTTTAAAGCAAGGGAGGTTCATTGGCAACACTCTATACTGCTGCTGCCACAGAATTCCCCTCATTTATGTCATAACAAGGAATTAAGGGCCATGAAGCACGAGACAAGCTGTAAGAGGAAATGCTCTTCTTCTTTTTTTTTTTTTTTTTTTTTTTTTTGACACTGATTCCACCCATGGTTGATCCAGGATGGACACTAAGGCTATGAGCAGTCAAACCACCAGCAGTTGAATTACACTCCATCAAATGCTGGGCACAGTGCATGTGCACTGAACTCCTCTAGGTACACATAGGGGCTCCTGTGCATGCAAGAGAGAAAACAGAGGAGAAAGCATCTGTAAAAATAAATAAAATAGAATTTATCTGTGTTTTGTTACTAAACTAAAATGAGAAGACTGGATTTTTTTCCCTTCCTTTTCAGAAAAAAAAAAAAAGTGTATTTTTTTCACTACAAGCAACTGATGGTTGCTGCTACAAAGAGTATTCAGAAGTGAGATGTCTGGTGTCCATGAAAGTAGAAAAAAAAAACAAACAGTGGTGTGATTTGTTCTGTGTAGAGAAAAGCAGTTGATTTCAGATGGGGTTATGAGTGATCATACTGGTAAACCTGGACAGATTTTGCCTAAATATGCACATTTTCAATTTGGCTTGCTGACAAATAGTCTGGCATAACCACATTACTATCCAAGCTATGGTACTATTTATGGTTTTTAAGTCACAAAACTTCTGGCATTCATGTGAACCTTCCAAAACCTCCCATTTTCCTATGTGCTAATCCTCACTCTACTAAAGTTTGTGCCTAGCCTAAATTATTCATGTAGGCTTTTTTAATAACTAGCAGAAAGAAACAAGAGGCTGCAGAGTGACTCCTCCTAAACTGATCATGTTCAGCTGCCCAGAAGTATTTGTAAATACTGATTAATTTATTGGTGGGGTTGCTCTGGTGACACCAAATTTTTCAGATCTGTGAGACGAACATTAACAGGCCTGCAGACAAATTGCACAATTTGCTGTAGCAAACACACACATACAAAATAAATAAATAGATAGATAGATAAATACATAATAAATAAATAAATTGAAGGCCAATCTGCTACGGTAAATGCCAAACACACTGGTCACATAACTTACAACCTCATTTATTTACACTCTTCATGTTCTTTTCCTGGCTCTGAGTCTCCTCAAAGCCTCCTTCACCTCCTGGTTCCTCAGGCTGTAGATCAGGGGGTTCAGCATGGGGGTCACCACGGTGTAGAGCACTGCAACCCACTTGTCTTCTTCTCTCGACTTGAGCGAACTTGGCTTTAAATAAACAAAGAGGCCATTCCCGTAGAAAATGCTGACGGTGGTGAGGTGGGAGGCGCAGGTGGAGAAGGCTTTGCACTTGCCCTCGGCTGAGCGGATGCTCAGGATGGTGGAGACGATGGCGATGTAGGAGACCAGCACAATGAGGCTGCTGGAGACGCCGAATAAAAATGTCGGCACTGTCATGATAAGAGAAGTGAGAGTACTGTCGGATGAGGAGAGAGAGGCCAGCAGAGAGAGGTCACAGAAGAACAGGTTGACCACGACGGAGCCACAGAAGGACAGGTTGAGCATGCCGATGGTCTGCCCCATGCCATTCAGCAGCCCGGCCAGGTAGGAGCCACCCACCAGCTGGACACAGAGCCTCGGGGACATAAGGACCGAGTAGTGCAGCGGGTGACTAACGGCCATGTAGCGGTCATAGGCCATCGTGGCCAGCAGGAAGCACTCGGTGACCAGGAAGATGCTGAACACAAAAACCTGGGTGACACATCCCACGTAGGAGAGGGGCTTCTGCCTGACCAAGTCAGACAATAGCTTGGGGGTGACAACTGTGGAGTAGAGGAGGTCTACCAAAGCCAGATTGCCCAGAAAATAATACATGGGGGAGTGGAGCTGAGGGCTGGTCCTGATTAATATGATTATCCCCAGGTTCCCTAGCAAAGTCATGAGATAAACTACCAGAAAGGCCGTGAAAAGGGCGAGCTGAAGCTCTGGATTTCCTGCGAACCCCATTAAGCTGAATTCGACTGTCTGCGTGCAGTTTCCCCCTCGGATTTTCATGAATGAGCACAGCAGAAGATCCTGAATAAGCTTTTGCAAATTGCTTATGGCTGAACTCATGGAACCAATACTGCAGACCAAAAAGCCAGACCTGGAGGGGCTGTCACTGGTGGCATCCAGGAAATACAGTCATGAAAGACAGCTTGATCCTAAGAGAGAAAATTACAGCTAGGTTCATCAAAAATGACAAAGGAAAAATAAATAATGGATAAATAAAATCATCACTGCACATGCAAAATCACATATATCGAGAAAATACACCCCACCCTAGGTCATCCTCGGTTTGGAATTTACCTCTATGAATTCTTCTCATCCTAATATTTATCTGTTAGCAATAGAAGTCCCTGTCAAACCTCATGAAAACAGCAAGCGAGGGCAGCATTGCTTCTTCTACTTAATAGAAGAATACTTAATTCTTGCACATCACCAGCCCTGTGAATCGCAGTGTTGTTCAAAATTACACAATTTATCTCTATTCCCACAATGGTCCTTTATTCCTCCTCCCCCTGTAACTTCTCTGAGACATGCAACTATGAAGCAACTCTGCAAAGGGACTTCTCTAAGAAGCTGCCTTCACCTAATATTGCCTTACGGGATCTGGAGTCATCACTGCTTGGGGACCCAGGGACTTGAGGAGCAGTCCCAGCCCCAGGGAACTCATAATACTTACCTTTGCTCTAAGTTGCAATATTAAAAAACATTTCTGTGCTAAGGCAAAATGAAGTTGGCTCGGTTTTCCTCTAGCTCTGAGAGAAAAGGGTTGGTCTCCAGGTTCCAGCTCTCCAGGAGCTGTCCACTTCTTTTTATTCAAAGGAGAATAAATATGTGTCTCTGTTTCTGTGCCTTTGCTTACCCACCAACTTTAGTAAGGACCTCCAGAATGGGGTTCGTTGCACCCCATTTCAGCTTCAGCACAGGCTGAAACCCAAAGCTCAGTGCCTGCTGTTACCTCTCCCGTGAGCCTTGCAGTGAACATGGCTCTGGCCAACGCAAGCAGCAGGGCTGATGCCTCCCTCAGCTGATGAACGCTGGTGTCTGACCTGGACCCCACCAATGTACTTGACCAAATCTCCCTCAGCCACCAAGGGTGCTGACATACAGAGTCACAGAATCATGGAACAGCTCGGGTTGGAAGGGACCTTAAAGCTCATCTGGGTCCAACCCCCCTGCCACAGGCGGGGATGCCACCCCCCAGACCAGGTTGCTCCAAGCCCCATTCAGCCTGGCCTGAACTTCTAAAATTCAAGGCTGGTGAGCACCAGGCCCCGTGACACATCTCCTCCGGCTGGTTGGTGACACGGTGCTGCTTGATGCTAAGAGCCACGTCCTTTCCATTTGAGGTTATTCCTAGCTCTAATCACCAAGTGAAAAAGGGGAGGTGGATCCTACACCTGAGATAGCAGCATTTGCTCGGGCTTATGTTTAAATCAGATTTAACCTGAACTAGTGTAGCTCCACCTAAAATAGAGAGCTCCAGCGGGTCTCTAAGATCCAGCACCTGCTTTCTGCAGGGGACAATTTCAGAGGCAAGACCCCAAAGACACAATACCCAGGGTTAAACCACTGTTTGTTGCCTTATTTCTGCCTCCTTAAGTAAAACAAGCTTCAGCTGGAAGCTCATTTGCATCTGAAGCAGGAGGGGCGTTTGAGACAGCACAGAGACAAAGCTACAACAGTTTTTGAGGACAGATCCTGCCCAGTCGAGAGGAGAGGCTGCCAAAGCAACTGGCAGCCCAACAGAGCAGATGCAGGTGCCAGCCCCATCTCTGTTCGCTGCTTGTTTGCCCCCCACTCGTCAGGATTAGGATGCTCTTTCTGGTTTCCCCAAGGACAGCAGGCAGGGCTTGCAGGATGGGCAGGAAAATGGTGTCATTTGGCTCTGTGAGACAGGGCTCGGCCAGGAAGCCACAAAGAGCCAAGCAGACGTGCTGGAGCCGCAGACTTGTATTTTAGCACACCTAAAGTTCTTGTTTGCATTTAAATTCAGAGGAGGGCGGAGGTGGGACTGGCTGGACACAAAGCCTGGGGGGCATGTTCATTAAATATTGTATTTCCTGCACTGCCAAATAACAGCCGCCGGTCACAGCAGCAAGACGAGGCATGCTGGGGCCATAAACAAAACATAAAAGTAGTGTGGGGGCTTCTACAAAAAAAGAAATCCTTTGCCTAGGTTAAACAGCACCGGGAGGACGGCAGTGGTGGAGCAGCAGGAGCACGGGGGATCGGCAGGGACTGTGCACCAAGAACTTCACTTTGCCTTGATACCACCAGCAAGCGCCCCACGGGCTTCTCGTTAGGGCCGAGGAAGGAGCTCAGGCTGAGAATTTCTAGGGTGAATTTGCCACATTGGAAACCCCAGTGAGGTCCCCCCCTCGGCAGGGCGGCTGCAGCGCTGATAAGGCAGGAGAGTGGGAGGGCAAACCCTGGGAGAGAGACACCGAGAGTATGTTTGCTCCACAGTGATGGGAAAGACAACGATGGGCCGGATTAAAGAGTAACCAGGAGTTATCAAGATTCTCGGGAAACAAAGGAGGACTCAGACGCGCTGCCTCACATGTCCCTGAACGCGCAGGTCAGGGCTACCCGTGTGTCAACAGATCAGCGGGTCACCGACATCCAGATTTGATTTAATCCAGATAAGCAGCCTCTGCCCTGCCACACCGCCAACACAAATTACAATTGCAAATTACTGCATGGCCCTAGGGTATGGCCAGAGCTCCAGTTTGTCACCACGGTCCTTACCAATGGTATGGTATGGTATGGCTGAGGTGAAACCCCAGCTGGAACATTTGGTGTTGTTTTTTTTCATGGCAGCGCCTGCTTGTGCATCGTCTGCAGGAAAGCAACTGGAGAGGCTTCAGGACGGGCATCGGCACTGGCTCAGGCTGGCATGGGCGCAAAACTTTGGGTGGTTTGGGGCCTGAAGGAGAAGAGCACCATGGTTCCCATGAGCTATTGTGGGCAGTGTACCGTGGGGACCATGCCTTGTCTCCCCGTCCACAAAGACAAAGACCAAAGACAAAGGAGTGGAGCAGGGGGCAGGGGCTGTTTTGTAGAACCTACCCTCAGGGGGAGCCCTTGCTGCAGCACACAAATGCTTGGCATGTGTGCCTTCATTCACAGCTGAGGTCACCCGACCGCCGTACTTCTTTTGTTATCTGTTAATCATTGAAGGAGATTTGAGTATAAACAAGGAAAAACATTTCCCACGTAGCATACCAGTTAGCTGCTGTCATCTTTTTTTTTTTCTTGATAAAAGGTGTTTCCGTCCTGACGCCAGCTCTGCTGGCCCTTAACGACTTTACAACACTTCCTTGAAAGAGAGCTAGATTTCCTGGAACAGGACTCACCTCGTTTGCCCTGATGTGCTGAGCAGAAGGGACAGCCTATGCTGCCCATTGCGAGAAAAGCACCTTATTTAACCAAAAAACTGAGCACATCACTCACATCTTTATTCGACTCAGCCATACATGTACAACATACAAGATCTTCTCATTTTTGTGAGTCTCCTCAAGGCCTCCTTCACCTCCTGGTTCCTCAGGCTGTAGATCAGGGGGTTCAGCATGGGGGTCACCACGGTGTAGAGCACTGCTGCCCGCTTATCGTCCCTGGAGCTGGCCTTTAGGTACATAAAGATTGCTGTCCCGTAGAAGATGCTCACAACAGCCAGGTGGGAGGCGCAGGTGGAGAAGGCTTTGCACTTGCCCTCGGCTGAGCGGATGCTCAGGATGGTGGAGATGATGGCGATGTAGGACAGCAGCACAACGAGGCCGCTGGAGACGCCGAATAGAGATGCTAAAGTCCTTAGCATGATTTGGTTGAGGGTGGTGTCAGAGGTCGAGAGTGATATCAGAGGGGAGATGTCACAGAAGAAGTGGTCGATGACGCGGGAGCTGCAGAAGGATAAACGCAACATGCCAATGGTCTGCCCCACGCCGTTTGTCAGCCCCAGGAGGTACGAGCAGGTCACCAGCTGGAAACAGCATTTCGGGGACATGGTGACCGAGTACAGCAGGGGATGGCAAATGGCCATATAGCGGTCGTATGCCATCATGGCCAGCAGGAAGCATTCAGTCACCCCCAGAATGTCGAAAATGAAGACCTGAGCTACACACCCAGCGTAAGTAACGAGCTTCTTCTCAGACACAAAGTCAGCCAGCAGCTTGGGGGTGATCGCAGTGGAAGAACAGAGGTCTACAAAGGCCAGATTGCCCAGGAAATAATACATGGGGGTGTGGAGCCGTGGGCTGGCCGCGATTAATGCGAGCATCCCCAGGTTCGCCAGGATGGTGACAATATAGATGAGCAGAAACAGCAGGAAGAGGGCAGCCTGAGCCCCGGGGTCGTCGGTGAGCCCCGTTAGCCTGAACGCGGTCACCGGGGTGCAGTTACATCCTGCCATTAGCTCGACACACAGCTTCTGTGTGAAGCACGATCGTGACCTCCCTGCTGGCAGCTTCTTCTGCTACAGGCAGGGATCTCCCAGGCAAAACGCCCTCTCCCCAGTGGGCCCTGTTTGGAGACAAGACCTAAAGGAAGATTTCAGGCATGGATCAATTAGAGAAACATATCACTTGCCGAGAAACATATCACTGTGTGGGTAACACGAATGGGGTACTGCAAAACCCAAACTCTGCTCGAGCTGCACTCTGAAGCCATCCCACTCAAGCTGAAACAGGGATAAATGCAGAGAAAGGCAGAGAAACGCAGTGATCTTACAGTGTGGCACCAATTATTCGCCCTTGCTCTCTTAGGCACATGCCACCCACCTGCCTCTTCCTTCTTTGCAGGGATTTCTTCTTAACTGTGAGCCCTGGAGACACAGAGGTTTCTCTTGGCTTCCTCTTTTAGTTATCTTTTTTTTTTTTTTTTTTTTCCTGGTTCTCTTGTCTGCTTTTAGAGAAATTGGGATTTTTCTAGAGAGATAGGCAACCCCAAAAGCTGAACAATCTCTCCTTGAAAATAGTTTTTGGGGAAAAAAAGCCTCACTCTTTGGACCTGCCCCCTGCCTTAGGGAGTGAGCTCCCTGAGTGTTCTTTACAGGAAAGCTTCTGGTCCTCATCCAGGAGCCCTTCCTGGCCAGCAGGCAGAGGAAACCTCCCAAGCATGCCCCCCTCTCTCCCATGGAAAGCAAAAGCACGGCTCAAATACGATGCTTTGCCCAGCTGAGCCACGCCAGCAGTGCCCACACCCTCCCTGTCCCACAGCCATGCACAGGACGCTCACAGCGCAGGTGCCTGGCGGTGAGGGACACAAAACCCACTGCACTGTGTCCTTATCGCTTGCCCTCTCTGAGCTCTTTCCTTCTTGCAAGAGAAAACTGGGCCAGATGGGTGCCACGAGGCTCACTCACATTTCGGAGGTGTCTCCTTCTGCTTCCCTGGCGAGGAGCTCGGGGATGGACACAAAGACATGCCTGCCCGAGGCTCTGCAGGGCAGCTGGATATCTAACTACCATCAGGGAACACCCCCACCACCACGTCACCCGGGGATTTGGGGGCTGAGAGCCTCCTGGAGGCTCAGGAGAGGGGCGAAGCCCAAAGCGGGTCATTATCCTTTCTCTGCGCACCTTGGCTTGGAGAAGCAGCGTACCCAGAGGAGATGACAAGAATCAAGGGGGCTTCGGGCTCTTGTTAGAGCAAACCCCAGACCACCACGTTGCCGGCCACGTCCGCTGCTTGAACACCCCAAAGGTCACAACAGCCTCACCAGTGCACAGTTTGATGGTATCACCACGGGGAGCTGGGCACAGGCAACAAAACACCTCTCCACCTATCTCCAGCTCCTCGTATGCAGGCCAATAGCTTGCAAATTTGGCTACGAGGAGGCAGTGGGAGAGTGCCAGAGTGCCAGCAAAATTGCTGCATTGATGGCCCCGAAATAGGAGGCTTGCAGCCCTGGGAAGGGAGAAGTGAAACCGAATGATGCTGACGCCCCGAAGCAGCCACTTTCACAAGCTTTGTGGGTTTTTTAAGCCAACCACCCCATTTTCTGGCACCTGGAGGCCTCTCTCCCAAGGAGCAGCTGCTAAAAGCCAGGTTTGCTGCACGGCATCCAGCCCTCCCCATCCCAAATCCCCTCGCTGATGGTGACTGGAGAGGTTATCTTGGGCAGGCTTTGCTGAAAACCAAAGGAAAGCAGAAAAATCGGCTGGGGGGGGCTGTGACACCGTGGCTCAGCCGTGCCGAGCCCCAACCTCCACTGTCACATCGCCGCTCACACCTCCTCATCTCCCGCTCGATGCCGGCCCGCGGCTGACAGCAGGAGACGGATGGGGCCGAGCCGGCGCCGCAGGGGATGCAGGAGGAGAGGTGATGGATGGGGGGGGCTCGGAGAGGTGGTGCCCCCCCTCCCCGCTCTGCTCCAGCCCCGCTTCCCAAAACCCGGTGCTGCTGGGGTGCTGACCCCAAAGGTGGTGTCACTGTCACCGCAGCTCTGTTAGCAGCCCCGTGGCATTTGGGGACTCGCCCCCCCCTCTGTAGCACCGGTCACATCCCTGCACCTGCTCCTTCCCCAGCTCTGGGTACCCCCAGACCCAGCTGAGGGTCCCAAAGCCACCGCTGGTCCCTCGTCCATCACCGCCGCATCAAAGCGCGAAGGCAGCGTGGGAGGGGGGGGCCGTTCTCCCACCGCCCCCGAGGCCCCGCTGCTGCTCCAGCCCCCTCGTCTCCACCCCCGAGCAGGGGGATAAAACCCCCTCGGTGTGCTGGGGGGGGCTGCAGTCCGGAGCTGGTGGAGCCGCGGCCGCATCCTGCCCACCCATGACAGGTAAAGCCTACCCATGGCACAGCCGTGCTAGGGTCCCTGCGACGCTCAGCCGAGGGGTGCACGCGGTCTATTCAGGGTGCTGGCTGCCCCACACACGTGTGGTCCAAACCCCATAAGTGTGGGGCAGCAGTGGGGTGGGGGATGAAGCCATGCCGTGCCGGGGACCCCCCCAGTCCTCCCCATGAATGAGGCTGGGGGTGCGTGGGGTCATTTCCCAAAGGGGCAGCGCAGGAATCTGAGCGCCCATCGCCCCCCAACCCTGCAGCCTTCCTGGCCACGCCGGGCGAGGGTCCCCCCTCGGGCACCGTCCCCGGGTGGGCGTGCGAGGGGCCGGGGGCCGGCGGCAAGAACCGGCGTGTGTGCCACGCCGCGGCACGGCTGGAGATGGGCAGCCTCTGGGAGGAGTTCAACCGCCTGGGCACCGAGATGATCGTCACCAAGGCGGGCAGGTATGCGCCGCGGAAGGATGTGGGGGGGGGTCCCAGGGCAGGGGGCACCCCCACGGCCTCCCCTTCCCCGCAGGAGGATGTTCCCCACCTTCCAGGTGAAGCTGTCGGGGCTGGACCCGTCGGCCGACTACGTGCTGCTGATGGACTTCGTCCCGCTGGATGACAAGAGATACAGGTGGGGATGGGGATGGGGAGGGATGGGGGCGCTGGGGGCTGCGTCCTGGTGGTGCTGAGCCCCCCCCTGGCCCCGCAGGTACGCCTTCCACAGCTCCTCCTGGCTGGTGGCCTGGCCGTGCCGACCCGGCAGCCCCCGGCCGTGTCCATTTCCACCCCGACTCGCCCGCCAAGGGGGCCCAGTGGATGCGGCAGATCGTCTCCTTCGACAAGCTCAAGCTCACCAACAACCTCCTGGACGACAACGGCCACGTGAGGACGTGCCGGGGGGGCACACGGTGAAGGGGGGGTGGTGGCGAGGAACGGGGGTGCCCACCGCCCGTCCCCGTTGTCCCCCCCCAGATCATCCTCAACTCCATGCACCGCTACCAGCCCCGCTTCCACGTGGTGCTGGTGGACCCCCGGCGCGACAGTGAGCGCTTCGCCCACGAGAACTTCAAGTCCTTCAGCTTCCCCGAGACCCAGTTCATGGCGGTGACGGCTTACCAGAACCACCGGGTGAGCTGGGGGCTGAGGGGGGAAGGAGGAGGAGGACACACGGGGGTGCCCCCCACCCCCTGACCCCCCGATCCCCGCAGATCACCCAGCTGAAGATCGCCAGCAACCCCTTCGCCAAGGGCTTTCGGGACGGGGACCCTGAGCCATGGTAAGGCCCTGGGTGCTGCCGTGCCGTGCCGCCGCGGTGATGGGCTCCGCGCCGCCTGCCCTCAGCCCCCCCACACCCCCTCTCTCTTGCAGGTGTGGGGGCACGCTGTCCCCCCCCCGGGCTGCCGCGCAGCAGAAAGGTCGTGGGGCTGGGGGCCGCGCTGCGCCCCCGCTGCTCCCCCGTGGCCGTGGGGCGCTGGCAGCCGTGGCCCCCCCCGGCTTCCCCACGCCGCCTTTCCAGCCCCTCGCCTACCCCCCCGGGGTCTACATGGGGGCCAAACCCCGCGCCGGCCCCTACCCGCTGCCCCCCCTGCGGCCAGCTGGCTTCAGCAGCGCTGCGACCACCTTCGGCTATGGGCAGCAGTGAGGGGGGACCCCCTGCGCCCCCCCCTTGGACCCTCACCCAAGGAGGGGACGGAGAGGGGAGCTGGGGGGAGCCAGGGGGGCTTTATTCGCTGCGGAAGCCTCTGGGTTTGGGAAGGAGAGGAGGAGACCCGGGGGGTGCTGCAGCCGGACCCCCCCAGCCCCACGGCTCTGGGGGGTTCCCGGTGATGCTGCGAGCCCCCCAGGTCCACGCGGCATGGGGCGGCTCAGCTACTCCCAGGAATCGGGCGCGAAGGCGAAAGGGCACAGCTTGTAGCCGGCACCCACATAAAACTTGTTCTGGAACTCCACCCTGCCGAGGAAAGAGGGGGCACAGTGAGACCCGGTGGGGCCTGTGGGGGGTCCCGTCCTGCCACCCCCACCCCCCTTGCCAGGCTCACCAGTGCAGCCGCAGGGCATGCAGGAAGGCGGAGAGCCCCTCCATCACCAGCAGGATGGCCACGGTCAGCACGGCGAAGACGGCAAAGACGGGCACCAGCACGGCGCCGCCCGCGTAGCTCAGCCGCACGAAGCCCTTGCGCATCACCATGCTCCACAGCACCTCCGAGAGCTCTGGGAGGGGGGGGGCAGCGAGGCTCAGCCTGGCTCCTGGGGGGGCAGTTTGTGGGGTGAGGGGGTTGGGACACTCACGTGCGTGGGCCAGGCTGAGCGCCCAGAGCCGCAGGTAGGACGCGGTGTTGGAGATGCAGCCCAGGCAGTACTCGATGGTGTGGATGGCTTGGTGCATGAAGACGTCGGAGAAGTCCAAGTGCTGCGGGGACAGAGGTGGGACGTTGTGTGTGTGTCTGTGTGTTTGGGGGGGGTCTGGACACAGCCCGACCCCCTCACTCACTCCCAGCCCTCACCTCGGAGTCAGGGCCGTGCCCCCCGCTCTCCACGTCCTCCTTGGTGGCATTGACGGAGTTGCCGGCCTCCTGCCCCTCCAGCAGCGGCTCCTGCTCTGCCGCTGGCTGCACGGGGACATCGGCCCACTCAGGCCATGCCACCGTGCCCCCTGCCCCATCCGAGCCCCCCACCGTGTCCCCAGCCTCACCGGGGGGTGGCCTGTCTTCCGCCTACGCCGCTGGCAGCACAGGTACAGGGGCGTCCCCAGGAGCAGGACGGGCACCGACGCCAGCGCCAGCACCACCAGCACCATCTGCACCGGCACCTGCAGGCGGCACGCGGCGTTACGGGGTCCCACCAGCACCCACATCCCACCCAACACCATCAGCCCCAGCTCGCGATGCCGGGCGGGGGTCCCGGAGGTGCTACCTGCCCCTCGTAGAGCGGGAGGTTGTCGGCGTTGGAGGTGAAGAGGAACATGTCGATGAAGTGGATGAGGATGCTGGGAGCCACCCGGGAGTCGGCGGGGCCGAACTTGATCCACTTGTAGAAGATGAGGAAGACGAGGTAGCCGAAGAGAGCCAGCAGGAAGACCACCTCGGGCAGGAGCTCCAGCACCAGCCGGTGCCGCTGCTTGAAGTGCCTGGGCAGGGGGCACCAGCCGGGCTCACCACGCTCGCACCCAGCTCTGGACCCCCCTCGCCCACCCCACCCTGCCCTGGGTGAGTCCGGCCCCGGCCCCCTTGGCACGACACGAGGAAGGGGACTCACACGTGGTTGAAGACACCCAGCAGGACGCCGAAGGCCATGTGCACGATGCCCAGCACCACCGACATCTTCATCTTGAAGGAGTTGAGGAAGTTGAGGTGGTTGGTGGCCAAGCTCCAGATCTGCCGGGGGCAATGTGGGTGAGATGCTGGGCCACCCCACCGAGGGTCCCACCCCGTCCTCGCCCCCAGGGGACACTCACCGGGTCAATGCCAAAAGGATAAGGCCCTTGGAAGACGCCGGTGATGTTGGGGTCCAGGGTGAGGGACGGGTGGGTGGCGAGGTAGTCAGAGCTGCGGGCAGAGCCAGGGGGTCAGCGCAGGCAGGGACCTGGGGGGCTCACGGGGGCTCACGGGGTCCCACCTCCAGGAGGAGCGGTTGGCCATGGTGGCCACGCTCCAGGCCGAGGGGAAGATGACGGTGGGTTTGCTGAAGCACTCGTTGTAGATGAAGCCGGTGTAGATGGAGAAGGCCCCCATGAGCAGGATGAGGTAGCGCCCCTCGAAGAACATCTGCCAGATCTGCGGGGGGCAAAACGTGGCGCCCTGCTACCACCCCTGCCCCACGCTGTGCCCGTCCCACACCACCCTGCCCACGCCTCCGACCCTGCAGCCAGGTGGCCCCGTTCCACACCGACCCCATCCCATACCTCCAACCCCATCCCGTACCTCCAACCCCATCCCGTGCCCCCACAACCCCATCCCGGCCCCCCAGCCCTGCCCCACGCCCCGCTCACCTCATTGCTGGCCTGCTGCAGGCTGGGTCTGTTCTCGTACAGCACCATCCAGAGGGCGAAGAGGAACATGAGCAGCCCGTGCCCCACGTCCCCAAACATGATGGCGAAGATGAAGGGGAACGTGATGATGGCATAGGGCGCTGCGGGAGCAGGGGCACTGCATCACTCCAGGCTCCCCCCCCAGCCCCGAGGTGCCGAGGGGAGGGTCCGGGGGTCCTCACCGGGGTTCACCTCCTGGTAGCTGGCCACCCCGTAGGCGTCCACGATGCTCTGGAAGCCGGCGGTGAATTTGTTGGTGCGGATGAGGGTGGGCGGGCTCTCCATGGTGGGGATGCGCTGCACGAAGCACTCCACGCTCGAGCCACTCTTGTACTGCGGGGAGGGCACCCAGGGCCTGACCCCCACGCCGTGATGGTGGGGGGGGGGGGCATTGGGTTATGGGGCGCAAGCTGGGGGTGGCACGGGGATGCAGGGCACCAGGGGTTGGGGGACAAACCTTGCCCCATGACACGTCCCAACACGGGGCACGTCACCCTAGCACAAAGACGACGTGGAACCCCTGGCATGAGGACACGGGGCCACCAAACTATTCCTGGCACAAGGACACAGGGCCACCAAGCAAGCCTTGCCACGAGGACACGGGGCCACCACGCAATCCCTGGCAGAAGGACACGGGGGGCCCCCAAGCAGCCCCCGCCGCAGCGGGCACCCACCGAGCCTTGGCGCAGGGCGTCCTGCACCTGGGTGAGGTCCCGCACGGGGCACCAGACCTCGGCGATGAGGCACTTCTCGGTGACGTCCAAGCTGCACTGGTTGAGGACGAGGTAGATGGCCTTCATCTTCTGCACCTGCACCCGCCACGTGGGCAGCGCCTGCACCACCTTGTCCAGCACCTGCGCCAGGTACTGCTCCGACTCCTCCAGCACCTGCGTGTGCCCAAAAAGGGGGGTCAGCGATGGGTGGGGGGGGGGTCCCAGTGCGGCCACCCCCCCCAGATGCCCTCACGGTGCCCTGCTCACCACGCTGAGGTCCTGGATCTGGCTGAGCAGCCCGTTCAGCGTTTCTGCCCGGCTGGCCTCGCTCTCCGGGTAGGGGTAGACCTGGCAGTGGAAGCTGGGACAGACGGACAGCGCCGTGTCGGGGAGGGGGGCAGCAGTGCTAAATAAACCTTTTTGGGGCCGGATGGCGTGAGGCTGCTCACTCACCAGTCCGAGATCTTGCGGATCTTCTGCCCGATCTGCTCGCCCCAGTAGGAGATGAGGAAGATGACCCAGGTGACGCTCTCGCCCTGGGGACAATGTAGGCTCATGTCAGCCCCGGCCACCCTGTCCCCCTTCCCTGCCACCCCCCGCAGCACCCCGCTCACCGTGTCCGGGTCCTCCAGGGGCTCAGGCATCTCCACGAAGCTGGCCACCAGGTAGCCACGGCAGGCACGCCACAGCAGCCGCTCGAAGGCGCTCACCCGCCACGGGTGGATGACACCGGTCACGAAGCTGTGGGGACGCAGCGTGGGCACTGGGACGGGCACAGCTCTGCCACCACCCCTGCCCCATTTCCAACCCGTACCCTACAGCGTTGTCCCTGCCCCGTAGCCTGTCTCCAACCCTTGTCCTACAGCCTTGTGCAGTGCCCCCTGGCTCCTCTCCAACCCCTGTCCAGGTGCCCCATGGCCAAGCCCTACCTTCAACCCTAACCCTACAGCCTCACTCACTATGGACATACCTTTGCCCTTCTCCAACCCTTGTCCTACAGCCTTCCTAAATGCCCCACGGCCATGCCATTGCCCCGTGGTCCACCTCCAACCCTTATCCTCCAGCCATACCACTGCCCCGCAGCCCAGCTCCAACCCCATCCTCCAACCATGATGCCTCTGCCCCACGGTTCACCTCCAACCCCTTGCCCTGCAGCCGTGCCCCAGGCCCCACAGGTGACAGCCTCCCCCCAGGAGACCCCATCAGGCCCCCTTTACTTGATCTTGCGGTCGAGGTGCTGGTGCACAGAGGGGTCGAGCAGCGGATCGTGCTCGGAGAACGCCCGGCTCGACGGCGGCGATCCAGGGGGACCCTGCGGTGCCGGGGAGCAGAGAGAGGAGTCTAGGGGTGGCAGGGGCACGGGGCAGCAACCCTAAAACCGGGTGGGGGGCGAAGGGGGAGTCCCGGCACCCACCGGCAGGCTGGTGAGGCGCTGCCCCTCGCGCAGGACGTGCAGGTACTGGCGCAGGTCCCGCAGGTGCCCGCGCAGGGCGGCGCGGTTCCGGCTGACCTCCCGCAGCTCCCTCGCCAGCTGCTCCGACTGCTCCTGCACCCGCAGCGCCTCGCGGGCCAGCGGCGCCGGGGGGTTTTCGGGGCACGGCCCCAGCTCCCGCCCGGCCCCTCGCAGCTCCTGCTGCAGGAAGGCTGCAAGAAAAGCGGTGGGAGATGAGCTCGGGGAAGGTGGGACCCCCCCCCCATCCCCACCCCCGGAGGCTGCCCCGCGCCCTCGCTCCCCGGCACTCACTGAAGGTCTTCTCCATCTCCTCGCAGCGCCGCACCTCGCCCACGAAGCGCCGCTGGAAAGCGCTCACGTGGGGGTTCAGCTGGGGATGGAGGGGGCACGGTCATTGGGGGGCTGGGGGGCAGCGCCTGGGCCAGCACCGTGCCACCGACCCCAGCACCCCCGGCACCCCCAGCCCGCACCAGTTCCCCGCTCCCACAGCACCCCGGTTCAACCCTCTGCACCCAGAGCACCCCAAATCCCCCAATCCTCTGTACCCAGAGCCCCCAGACCACCCGTGCCCAAGCCCCTGCACCTCAGGGCACCCAAACCCATCCATCCCAACCCCCCTGCACCCAAAACACCCCAGGGTCCTGCACCCGGAGCACCCTAAACCACCCAAATCCAAACCCTTGCACCCATGGCACCCAAGCCACCCATCCCAATCCCCTGCACCCCAAATGGCCCCAAACCCTTGCACCCAGACCGCCCAACCCCCTGCACCCGCACCCATCCATTCCAATCCCCCTGTACCCGGAGCACCCCAAACAACTCATGCCTGTTATCCTGCACCCATGGCACCCCAATTACCCAAGCTCAATCTGCTGCACCCACGGCACCCAAAGCTGTCCATCCCAATGCTTTGCACCCAAAATATCCCAAACCCTTGCACCCGAACCACCCCAAACCACCCAAACCTCAACCCTTGCACCCGGAGCACCTCAAACCCAATCCCCTGCACCCGAAGCACCCCAAACCAAACAAACCCCAACCTAAGCCTTGCACCCGAGGCACCCCAAACCACCCAAACCCCAACCCTTGCACCCAGAGCACCCCAAACCACCCAAGCCCAAACCCTCGCACCCGGAGCACCCCAAACCCAACCCCCTGCACCCAAAGCACCCCAAACTCTCCAAGCCCCAACCCAACTCTTGCACCCAGAGCACCCCAAACCCAATCCCTACACCCAAAGCACCCCAAACCATCCAAACACCAACCCTTGCACACGGAGCACCCCAAACTACCCAAACCATTGCACCCAGAGCACCCCAAACTCTCTTGCACCCGGAGCACCCCAAACCCAATCCCTACACCCAAAGCACCCCAAACCATCCAAACCCAAACCTTTGCACCCGGAGCACCCCAAACCACCCAAGCCCAAACCCTCGCACCCAAGGCACCCCAAACCCAATCCCCTGCACCCGAAGCACCCCAAACCAAACAAACCTAAACCCTTGCACCCGTAGCACCCCAAACAACCCAAACCCTTGCACCCGGAGCACCCCGAAACCACCCGGATCACCCCCTACACCCACTCTACCCGAAACCCCCAGCCCACCCTGCCCACCGCAGCCCACCCCACCACCCCAAGGGCCATCCAGGCGTCCCCCTACGTACATCCCTGAACTCCAGCAGCCCCCTCTCGCCCAGCTCGCTGACGCAGCTGTATGCCGAGGCGGAGTGCAGGAAGAGCTGGGCCAGGCAGACCTCCTCGCTGCGGAACAGGGACCCCATGGTGGCCCCCTGGGGGGGGGGCACCCCGCTGGTCCCGGGGCACCCGGCTGGGGACGGAGGCGAGCGCTCAGAGAGCGGGGACGGTCCCGGGGGGTGCCGGTTCTGGTCCCGGGGGGGTGTCGGTGCCGCTCGGTGTCCCCGGAGCTGGGGGTGCCGGGGCTGTGCCACGGCCCCGCGTTGCGCCCCGCTTGCACAACGCCCGCCCCCCCCCCGCCCCGCTCAGCTGCCTCTGAGTCAGGGCCAGCGCATCCCGGGGGGGGCACCGGCACCGGGACAGACCCCCCCTCAACCCCTCCCTCCCTCCCAGCCCCGCCCCCCCGCTATAGGGTCCCCCCTCTCCACCCACCCACCCGCTACCGGGGCAGCCCCGGGACGGCGCCGCCCGCTCGGAGCCGGGTGCGCGGCGGCGGGGCCGGGGCCGGGGCCGGGGCAGGGCTGCGGGGCCTGGCCGGGCTCCGCACTTCCTCTTCCCCCAGGAAGGGCCCGGCCCCGGGGAGGAGGCACCGGCCCCGGGAGCCTGCCCCGGACCTCGTGGGGGACCGGCGGGAGCCGGGACGTGGCGGTGGGGGCGCCCCCAAAAGGCGCCCCACTGATGCGCGCACCCCGAAGCCCCCTCCCAGCTCCTGCTCCTCTCAGCTTAACCCCACAGCACCCACATCCCCTGCTGCTGGGGCTCCCCGTGCCACCCCAAAATGGGGAATGGATGCAGGGTTGTCCCCAGCACCGTTGTCCCCCTCCCTGTGGCACAACCGTGCCGCCCCCTCCCCTGCTGCCCCCGCGCAGGGTCGGCAAAGAAGAGACCAAGGCACGAGCTCGGGGGTTAGGAAGGGGCCGGTGCCCACCCTCCCCCAGCACGGGGGGGTTGCAGAGGCACCCGAAGGCCCTTTATTATGGGATTTGGGGGGTGGGGGGACACGGCGCGGCCCCCGGCCGTCACCGGTACAGGTAATCGGCCTGGATGTTGGCCGCGATCTCGGCCTCCCACTTGTCGCCGTTGTTGAGCAGCTTCTCCTTGTTGTACAGCAGCTCCTCGTGCGTCTCCGTCGAGAACTCGAAGTTGGGGCCCTGCGTTGGGGAGACGCTCACCGTGAGACCCCAAGGAGCTCGGTGGCCCCCCCCCCCATTCATTCCCCAGGCTGGGAGCCCCTCCCCGTCGTGGGCTCACCTCCACGATGGCATCCACGGGGCAGGCCTCCTGGCAGAAGCCGCAGTAGATGCACTTGGTCATGTCGATGTCGTAGCGCGTGGTGCGGCGGCTGCCGTCAGCCCTGGGCTCGGCCTCGATGGTGATAGCCTGACACCAAGGGAGGGGGGTGAAAAACGGCACCAGGGAGCCCCCAGGGATGGATGAGGGGGATGCAGGGGGGCTCACCTGTGCCGGGCAGACGGCCTCGCAGAGCTTGCAGGCGATGCACCTCTCCTCCCCGGAGGGGTAGCGGCGCAGGGCGTGCTCCCCGCGGAAGCGTGGGCTGAGCGGGCCCTTCTCGAAGGGGTAATTGATGGTGGCCGGCTCACGGAAGAGGTAGCTCAGCGTCATGGCCAGGCCTGGGGGGGTGCCAGGGCGAGCAGGACGTCACCCCGGGGGCAGCAGGGGGATGGAGGGAGATGGGGGGGGGGCACACGGGGCTCACCTCGGAAGAGCTCCGTCCACAGCAGGGTCTGGGCGGCGCGGTCGGTGATGGATTTCATGTCCATGGCCGGCTCCTGGATGTTGACATACTCTGCGGGGAGCAGGACGCCGTCCCCACCCTGCACGGCACCAGGGGGGGCGGCGGCAGCCCCCCGTCGGGATGGGGGCGGGCGGGGGGTACTCACTGTAGCAGTCCCTGGGGGCGGTGGTGCTGAGCGGGCGCAGGTAGCACGGGGCGGGCAGCGGGCCTGGGAGGGGGCAGAGAAAGGGGAAAATGGGTGAGGGGGGGGATAACGGGGCCGATTTTGGGGTGGGGGGGAGCGGGGTGGATGCTCACCTGCACGGGCAGCCCGGTGCAGCAGGCGCAGCGCTGCCATGACCGCTCCTGCCTGGGGGGGGGCGCAGGATCCGAGTGCTGGGGGTCGTGGGGGGGCACACAGGGGCTGGGCTGGCTGCTGGGGGCAGCCCCCCCTCGCCCCCATGAGGGACGGGGGTGTCCTGGGCGCTCCCAACGCCCCCAAAATCCCCAGCACCACACAGGACATGGCCCTTCTGGCCCCCCTGGTTAATTGACACATGTACCCCCACCCCAAAACCCACCCAAGGGACCCACATTTCGCCCCCCCCTCAAAAAAAAAACACCCAAGGGGCCCAGATTTTGCCCCCCCCCTCCCCCAAACCCACCCAAGGGGCCCAGATTTCTCCTCCCCCCCAAAAAAATAACACCCAAGGGGCCCAGATTTCACCCCCCCCACACCCCAAAAACCCCCAAACCCACCCAAGGGGCCCAAATTTCGCCCTCCCCACCCCAAAACCCACCCAAGAGACCCAGATTTCACCCCCCCACACCCCAAAACCCACCCAAGGGACCCACATTTCCCCCCCCCCTCAAAAAAATAACACCCAAGGGGCCCAAATTTCGCCCCTCCCCCCCAAAAAATAACACCCAAGGGGCCCAGATTTCACCCCCACACACCCCAAAACCCACCCAAGGGGCCCTGATTTCACCCCCTCCACCCCCAAAATCCCCAAAACCCACCCAAGGGGCCCGGATTTCGCCCCCCCCTCCCCAAAACCCACCCAAAAGGCCCAAATTTCGCCCCCTCACCCCAAAAACCCACCCAAGGGGCCCAAATTTCGCCTCCCCCACCCCCAAAATCCCCAAAACCCACCCAAGCGGCCCTGATTTCGACCCCCCCAAAACGCCCAAAGGCCCCTGGCTCCTCCGGCCCCCCTAAGGGCCCCCTGTCCCCCTCAGCCCCCCCCGGTCCCCCCGTCCCCCCCCTCGCCCCGGCCTCACCTCCCCCAAGGACCCGGCCGTCCTGACCCCTGGCCCAGCCCCCAAGTCCCAGCGCGCAGGCGCGAAACGATGCGGCGCATGCGCAGAGAGCCGCCGGCTTCACTGGGAGGGCCGCCGCGCTGAGGGCGGGGCCTCGCGGGAGGTGGGCGGGCCGCGCTGCCAGAGCTCGCTTTCTATTGGTTGGCTCTGGATGATTGGCGGCGCGGGGAGAGCCCGCGCGGGGAGAACGAGAGGGGCCGCAGCGAGGTGCCCGCGGATTGGCCGTGCGGCGGCGGGGCGGCGCGGTGATTGGTCAGGGGAAAGTGAGGGCGGAAGCGCTGCGCTGCGGAGGCACGGTCCCTCCCCTATGCCAGTAGTTGCACCCCGATGGGCAGGGGGCTGAGGGGGCACCGCGATGGCGGCGGGCGCAGGGAGGCGATGGGACGCTTCAGCAGTTGAAAGCATTTATTGAGCTGCCCTGCAGGGCCGCCATGGCTGCGGTGGGGCTGTGGTGGCCCCATGGTGGTCCCAAGGTAGTCCCATGATGGCCCCATGATGACCCCATGGTGGCCCCATGGTGGTCCTATGGTAGCCCCATGGTACCCCCATGGTGGCCATGATGACCCCATGGTGGCCCCATGGTGGTCCTATGGTAGCCCCATGGTACCCCCATGGTGGCCATGATGACCCCATGGTGGCCCCATGGTGGTCCCATGATGGCCCCATGATGACCCCATGGTGGTCCCAAGGTAGCCCCATGGTACCCCCATGGTGGCCCCATGGTGGCCATGATGGCCCCATGAGGGCCCCATGGTAGCCCCATGATGGCCCCATGGTGGCCCCATGGTGGCCCCTTGGTGGCCCCTCAGAGCAGGGCGCATTCCCCCTGGCGCTTGACGGTGGTGGCGGCCCGGACCAGCCCGGTCTTGTGGGGTCCGTAGGGCGGGTAGCGCAGGGTGTTGATGGGCTCCAGGCCAGTGCCCCGCTGCAGGCAGCCGCGGCGGTGGGTGAAGGTGTCGAAGGTGAACTTGCCGTGGTACTTCCCCAGGCCGCTGGATCCTGCAACACACAGCACGGGGCCCGCCTTGTGACGGTGCCCGGCAAGGGCCACCCCAAAATTATCTCCCCCCCAACTGCTTCCTCTAATTTGGATGGGGCTCCAAGCCCCGGAGACCACCTCAGTCACCCCATGGCACCACGCCACCACTGTCCTCGCCCTCAGTGGGGTCTTCTTCACGGGGTGCCCCCGAAGATGCTGGGAGGTGGGTCCTCATCTCCATAAGCAACTAAAACCCTCGGTAAATTGTTTTCATTTCTTTGCCTTAAACTGGTTTCATTTCTTTGTCTTAAGCTCTTGTTCCCTCTTCTCCTCCTAAGTTTCTGTTCTCTTTTTGGCTCAGTATGAAAATGGAAGTTCCTGCTTGCTAAACCTCACCTGGTGCCAGCAGCCCCACTTCCCTACCACAACATCTCCACCACACGCACAGACCCCCCCCAACACCTCCTCGCCCTCCGCACTGGCTCTGGCCCCACAGCTGGAGAGGACGGAGGTAGCTCCCGTGGGGATGTTCCTTGCTACCAGAGCAGGTAGCAAGGCTCATCATCAGACACGGGTGTCTCCATCCACGTTAAACCCTGTGTCACAGGAATTGTGGTGACCAGAAGTTCTCCTGGATTCAAGGAGAGCCTGGATAAGTGCCTGGAGACCCCCCAGCACATGGGATCCTTCTGGGGTAGCAAATCCTCTGAGCTGGAAACGGGTGGAGATAGCTCAGTCGTGCCTGCTCTGCTCCTACTCACACATCTGCCTAGGGCCATGGTGGAAAAGAATGAAGACCTGAACACAGCCATGCTCCGAAGCCTTTACAAGACTTCAGAGAAGGAAAGGAACCTCTTCCAGCTGATGCTCCAGATAGAAAACATCCCATGGAAGCTCAGAAATACTGAGAGATCCACAAAAAAAACTGAAGGTCTTGAAATGTTCCTGTGGTGGCCACGTTCTGATCTACTCCTTTCTGAGTAAGACAGCTCTTTGTATGCAGGGAACGCTGCTTGGGCCAGCAGCCACAGAGAGAAGAAACCTTGCGGTGCCCAGCACAAACAGAGCTGCAGAGCCCCAGGGCTCAGCCCCGGTGCAGCGAAGCAAAAGGCTTCTGGTGGGACAAACCAGGGACCCGGTCACACCTACCCCAGGCAGGCAGGTTGGGGGCTGCGGACTTACCAATGCCACCGAAGGGCAGCGAGGTCAGTGTCACTTGCATCAGGGTGTCGTTGCTGCAGAAGCTGCCGCTGCTCGTCTTCTCCAGCACCTGGTTCACCACCTGGGAGGGGAAGGGAGAAGGGGACGTGGCTTGGTGCCCTGTCCCTGCACCCCCAGCTGCCATCTGTCTCCCATGGCCACAGATCTCTGCTCCAACCAAGACCTTTGGGGCATGAACGTGGCTGAAGGCACGCCAAGGAGAGCGGGATGGGCACCATGCAGCCTGTGCGCTCTACCTTGTTGTCGGAGGAGAAGACATACACGACCAGCGGCTGCTCACGGCTGTTGATGAAGTCAATGGCTTCCTCCACGTTGGCCACAGTGATGATGAGCAGGATGGGCCCATAGATCTCCTCCTGCATGGCAGGATCGGAGGGCTGCACGTCCACCAGCACCGTGGGGGCTGCGGAGGAAGAAACCCAAAGGCATCGGCCGTGCCCAAGGCTGGAGGAGACACCTTGACCTGCGCAGAGGGCAGGTTCCTCCTCCGAGGCTGGGTGCCTTGCCCAGCTCCCATGCAGACCTTCTCTAAATAACCCTTCCAGCTCCCCTCGGGTTGCAAAACCCTCTCCAAAACCCACTCCCACCCCATGCAAGGTGGAACAGACTTATCCGAAATGTGAGCCCTCACCGATGTAGCGCTCCTTCTCGTCCGTCTGTCCCCCGATGGCCACACGCCCGCTGCACAGCAGTGCCCGCACGCGGTGGAACTGCTTGTCCCCCACGATGCGGGCAAAGTCGGGGGACTCCTGCGGGTTGGGGCCATAGAACGTGGTGATGGCCTCACGCAGGGCGGGCACCAGCTTGTCCTTCATCTCCATGCTGCACAGGATGTAGTTGGGCCCGATGCAGGTCTGCCCCGCGTTGAAGAAGCGTCCCCAGGCCACCCGCCGGGCCACGTTCTGCACATCACAGTTGTCGGACACGTAGCAGGGGTTCTTGCCCCCCAGCTCCAGCATCACTGGCGTCAGGTGCTTGGCAGCAGCTGTCATCACGATCCTGCCCATGGCGGGGTTGCCTGTGGGCCACAAGAGGATGCATCACGGTGGGGATCCCACCACGCTGCAGCCCGGCTCTGGGACGTGGTACTCCAGGGGAAAGTGCACCAAGTCCCACCAGACCCTCACCCCAGATCCATCAGGTCCCAGCCTGAGGCTCTGGCTCTCGGGACGTACCAGTGAAGAAGATGTAGTCGAATTTATTCTCCAGCAGCCTGGTGGTCTCCTGCTTGCCCGCAGTCACCACGGCGAAGCAGTCCTGCGGTGTAAGAGGAAGGGTCCCCTGTGCCACTCCGTCCTCATCCCCACCAACAGCACCCTGGGGCTGAGCGAGCAGTGGGGCAGCCGGGGCTGGTGCTCTAAGAGCTGAGGCCACAGGGACCCCAATTTGTGGCAGAAGCAGAACGGGCAAGGTTGGAGGCTGCAGCACATCTCCTGGAGGACTCCGAGGTGGGACGTGCCTGAGCGCAGGCACCCCCAGTGCGTGCAGCGGGTGGGAAGAAGCCAGCCTTGGAGAGAGCTTCTTACCTTGTCCAGGTACCTGGGCAGCACTTCCACCGCAAGTCTCTTGCTGTTTTTGGTGATCTCCGAGGGTCTGACGACGACACAGTTACCTAGGGGGAGATGGAGAGGACATTAGAGCTGCGACGTGGTCACAGCCGGATGCGCTGGCACCCCGCACCAGCGTCCCCAGCCCCGGCGTCCTGCAGGCAGGGGACGGGCTCAGCCTGACCGGCGGCGATGGCTCCGATGAGGGGCACCAGGAGGAGGTAAATGGGGTAGTTGCAGGGCGCGATGATGAGCACCACCCCGTAGGGGTCCCTGCGGATGAAGGCCGTGTCCAGCTGCGTCGCCTGCGGGACACCCAGCGCATCAGGAGGAGTTTGTGGTGGGACAGGTCCCCACGTGAAACCCCCCCCCTTGCCTACAGCTCGCCCTGGCAAGGTCCATTCCCCCTCCTCTTCCCCCTTACCAGGTTCTTGTCCACCTGCTCGTCCTTCATCCAGTGGGACAGGTTGTTAAGGGTGGTGTTGAGCTCGTTCTTGCACAGGAGGACCTCGGAGAACTCGGCTTCAAAGGGTGGCTGGGGACGCAGAGCACCGTGCCCATCGTCACCGGCACGTGCTCTGACACCCACCCCATGCAGCATTTAAACCCAGGCTATGGGGCAACACTGAGCCTTGGGGGGAGCCTCCAGCCAGGGCTGGGGACTGTGGGTTTGGGGTGAAATGTAGCACAGGATCCCCCAAAGGGACCAAGCATCGCTCTGCACCTCCTTCCAATGCAAGAGCTGGTGTTTGCAAGCAGGAGAAGAGGAAACAGCCAGGCTGTGGTGAGGATGGGGTGGTTGGCCGAGCAGAGGTTATCAATGGGGACGGAGAACAGAAGATAAGGAGCCCTGTGAAGTGCCCACAGTGCAGGGAAACGAGCAGCACCACAGAGGGGGGGTATCCATCAGGGGGATATCCATCAGGAGCTCTTTGAGGGTCTGCTCTGCCCCAGCCCTCAGAAACCCTGCACGCTGAGGCTGCTGCGGGTGGGGATGGAGGAACATCTCCAGGTGCTCCCCACCAGCTCCAAGCCCAGGGCAGAGCCCCCCAGCTCCCCCAGCCCCTTATGCCCAACCCCAGTGGCCTCACCTTGCGCATGTCCAAGTCGAGGGCCTCCAGGATGTCCTGCTTCTTCTCCTCCAGGAAGCGGCCCAGGGCCTCCAGCTGGGCCAGGCGGTACTCCAGGGGCCGCGTCTTCCCCGAGAGCCAGGTTGCCCGCAGGCGGCTCACCAGCCCCGCGTAGGGGTTCCCGCTGTGGGTATGGGGACATCAGAGGGACCCCATCCCCATCCAGGCACTGAGGCACAGGAGCTCCACGTCCCCCAGCCCAGTGCACACCCAGCATCAAACTGGAGAAGCCGGGGACCGGGCAGGGAGCCTGAGCACCTCCTGCCTCCCCTGTGTCCCGGCCGCACGCTGCCATCCCTTTGCTCTCACCTCATGCCACCCTCATCCTCGGGGGCTGTGCCAGCATCACCGCCCAGAGGCTGCTGCCCACGGAGCTGCTCCATGCCGGGCTGTGGGAAGCAGCTGACAGCTTCCAGCAGCCCTGAGAAGACGCACGAGGCTGCAAAGCCCGTGTTCCCGTGCAGTCCTGGCTAACGGGGAGCCTTACACCCGGAGGAGGTGGCTTTGGGGAGCCCGGTCAGCACCCTGGCACCACAGCCACGTCCCTGCTGAGTGCAGGGTGCATGCAAAGGCTGCCCCGCGTCCCTGGAGGGGGGGAGGCTGCCAGCTTCCAGCCCTTCCCCTTGGCTCCCTGCGTCACCGCTGGCTCTGCTCCAGCCCAAACCGCTTGGGACATGGGATGCCACCACAGATCGTGCTGTGGGGTGACGGTGAGCCCAAAACATGCCTCCAGCGGGGAAGTGGCTGGCAATGAGGGGAGCGGGACAGCCCTGCCCTGCCTCTGCAGGCCAGCCTCAGCACGTGGTGCTGCAGCCAGGCATCCCCGCGGGGCTGCCAGTGCACAGAGTTCCTCAAGTGCCAACTGTCCCTGCAACCATGTCATGAGTGAGGGTCCCCATCAGGGCCATGGGGACACCTGGGGACACAAGAGGGTGTCCTGGGGCTGGGCAGGGGCGCAGGGTTAACCCCACGGCCGCATTTTCCTCTCATCTTCTCCCACTCCCTGTACCCCCAGGTGGGTGAAGGAGGCGCGAGGCGAGGCCGCAGAACTCGATGCAAAGTCTTTACTAAAGCAGAGTTACACGGAGGAAAAAGCAACAGCTGTCAGGAGAGCAAGGTTCACAGGGAAGGAAAGGGTCACCTAGCGAGGGATGGGGCTAACTGCTGGCTCTCAACATCCAGTGGGCTGCTTCTCTGCCAAGAAGAGAAGGCTGGGGTGAAAACAAGGAATTTTTGCCATTTTAGCTACATCACAGCACACAGTCCAGAGCGGAGGAAGCTGGGCAGGAGCGAGCGTGCAGGAGGGGTCTGTCCCCGCTGTCCAACACACTTCGGGTGGCAGTGAGGCAAAGTATGTGGCACGGGACAGAGGTGCAGACGAAGGGGGTTTCACCCTGCAGCATCCCCAGCCCGGTCAGTCCACGAGCAGCGCGGGGCACTCCTCAGAGCAGGGTGCACATGCCCCTGCGCTTGATCTCGAAGGTGGCCGTCATCAGCCCCAGCTTCTGCTGGTTGTAGGGCGGGTAGCGCAGGCTGTTGAGGGCCTCCAGGCCCATGTTGCGGTGCAGGCAGCCGCGGTGCTGAGAGAAGGTGTCGAAGGTGAACTTGCCGTGGTATTTCCCCAGGCCGCTGTTACCTGCAACAGACAGCACGGGTCCAGACCTGCTCCTGGATTCTCCTCCTGCCCACCCTGAGCCTCAGGGCAGCAGGATTTTCTCGTGCAAATCTCCCACAGGACCTCTTGGCCTTCCCTGTTACTTGTCCAGCTCTACGGCTCCTCAGTCACACAGTGCCAGATAATCCCTGCAGCTCACCACTGCTTGGAGGTCCACCTACATCATTGTGACTGGTCTACGTTTTCTCCGTGGTCACAGGCTCTTCACAAAGCCCTGCTGGGTCTATGATTTCCCTCTGCAACCTCAGTGGTGCCCTACCATACGTAGCCATGGCTAGGGGCCACCACCCTGCCTGGAACGAAGCTCAGCCTCTTCCTGGAGCTCTTAAAAATCAGCAGCGCATTGGCAATGCCGGTTCCCCTGATTCCTGTGGCTGATTGAAGCTTGAGGCTGCACGTCACGGTTAATAGCCCAGTGACTTCACAGCCAGGTTACTGCGGAAGCTTCGGCAGATGCCATCTCACCCTGATGACTTCAGGCCCTCCACCTGATAATTTGAGGCCGTTTCTCTGAATCATTTCCATAAAGATAAGTTACGGCACAGGAACCACCGCCAATTGTTCCCTGATCCACAGTCAGGTAAGGAATTAATTCTGCTTTCCTGTCTCGGCGTCTTATTATGTCTGAATCAGCTGTCAGCTCTGACAGAGATGCTGAGCACGTGGAGTCTCTTCCCCACAATAATCTCCAGAGAATATTCTAGGGAAGAGACCACGAGATTAGGAAAGTATTCTGGGGCAACATCATCAAATTCTTCCTGTATTCCAGCGCTGCTCTTCCCTAGATAACTCACTGTAGGCAATGCCACAACCAGAACCCAGTGCTCAGGAGACCTCACTTTTTACCTGAAAAAACATTTGTGTTCATATAAGGACACTCAAAACCAGGTACTTCTTCCTCTTGGCTGAGGAGGATCTCCACATTACCACAGGCAGATTTCCCTGACTTTCGTAAGTGTTTTACTCTTAATACTTAGTCTTAAAATGCAGAATGAGAGTATAAACCTGCTCCTGGGTGACATTAAGGGCTCTGATCCAGCACCACGCTGCCTGCAGGAGGAAAGCTCGCCTACCCAAGAAGCACAGTGCTGCCAGACAAGGAGCAGCAATGGATTGACCAAAGACAGCAGCACCTGAGGAGCTCCCGAGTAAGCCTGAGCAGGGAAGGCACAAAATCCACTCGTGTTGCCCTTGCTGCTCAGAAATACCAAGGAAATACCCAAGTGGTGCAAACTTCCCTACATTATACGTGAGGCATTTCCCCTGACACACTGTGGAACGCTGCTTGGGCCAGCAGCCACAGAGAGAAGAAACCTTGCGGTGCTCAACACGTGCTCAGCACAGAGCTGCAGAGCCCCAGGGCTCAGCCCCAGCACAGCAAAGCAAAAGGCTTCTGGTGGGACAAACTGGAGGCCCAGTTCCGTCTGCCCCAGGTGGGCAGACTGGGAGCTCTGGACTTACCAATGCCACCAAAGGGCAGCGAGGTCAGCGTCACTTGCATCAGGGTGTCGTTGCCGCAGAAGCAGCCGCTGCTTGTCTTCTCCAGCACCTGGTTCACCACCTGGGAGGGGAAGGGAGAAGGGGACATGGCTGTGGTCTGCTGGCTCAGTAGCAGCACTGCTCAGACGTCAGCCAACTTTTCCCCCAGCCCAGGGTACTCAGAGCATGCCTCAGGGTGTCAGCGGGGTGGGCACCAGCCCTGCTGCCCCATTCCCCTCGGTCCCTTTTAGTCTCCCTGGACTGCACACACCTTGCTGTCGCAGGAGAAGGCGTAGACAGCCAGCGGCCGGGGCCGTGCGTTGATGAAGTCAATGGCTTCATCCATGTCGGCCACGACGACGATGGGCAGGATGGGCCCAAAAATCTCCTCCTGCATGGCAGGATCGCAGGGCTGCACGTCTGCCAGCACTGTGGGGGCTGTGGAGAAGGGTTAAAGCAATGCATCGATCAATGCACAGGCGCTCACAAGCCCCAGGCTCACCAGGAACCTGCTGCTTCAGATTCCTTTCCCCAGCAGAAGATGCTCTGCACCCCCTGCAGACTGCAGCTTCGAGCCCTCCACGATCTCCCTGCGTCTCTGCCTACAGGCAGCTGCGGAGCCTTCCCCGCGGCGGTGGCTGGCACCATATCTCCGCTTCCCCATCTCACATCCCCCCACGCCAGGCGCTTCCACGCTCAGGCACCCTCACCGATGTAGCGCTCCTTCTCGTCCGTCTGTCCCCCGATGGCCACGCGCCCGCTGCACAGCAGCGCCCGCACGCGGCGGAACTGCTTGTCCCCCACGATGCGGGCAAAGTCGGGGGACTCCTGCGGGTTGGGGCCAAAATATTCGGTGATGGCCTCACGCAGGGCAGGCATCAGCTTGTCCTGCATCTCCACGCTGCACAGGATGTAGTCGGGGGCAATGCAGGTCTGCCCCGCGTTGAAGAAGCGTCCCCAGGCCACCCGCCGGGCCACGTTCTGCACGTCGCAGGTGTCGGACACGTAGCAGGGGTTCTTGCCCCCCAGCTCCAGCGTCACCGGCGTCAGGTGCTTGGCAGCAGCTGTCATCACGATCCTGCCCACAGAGGGGCTGCCTGCAAGCCACAAGTGAATGCATCACGGTGGGGATCCCACCACGCTGCAGCCCAGCTCTGGGACGTGGTACTCCAGGGGAAAGCGCACCAAGTCCCACCAGACCCTCACCCCAGATCCATCAGGTCCCAGCCTGAGGTTCTGGCTCTCGGGACGTACCAGTGAAGAAGATGTAGTCGAATTTATTCTCCAGCAGCCTGGTGGTCTCCTGCACGCCCGCGGTCACCACAGCGAAGCAGTCCTGTGGTGTAGGAAGAAACAGCCCTCTCTGTCAGCACCTGCCCAGGTCACTCTGTCCCCATCCCCACTAACAGCACCGCAGGCTCCTGGGCCCATGGGCACTGGCTGAGCACAGAGGAAGGAGCCACAGTACCGAGGAGGCACAGGGCAAAGCTCGGTGTGAGCAAGGGGTGGGAATGCCCCAGCCACGGGACAGGGACAGGGAGAGCTTCTTACGCTGTCCAAGTAGCAGGTCAGCACTTCGGCGACAAGCCTCTCGGTGTTCTTGGCTATCTCTGAGGGTTTGACAACCACACAGTTCCCTGCGGGGAGAGGGACAGGACATCAGGGCCGTGACATGGTCCTGGCACCCCAGACCAGGTCCCCCTGCTGGTGCTGCTGCCTGCGTCCTGGGGCAGGAGACAGCTCTGGCTCCACGCAGCCCAGCCTCACCGGCGGCGATGGCCCCGATGAGGGGCACCAGGAAGAGGTGGATGGGGTAGTTCCAGGGCGCGATGATGAGCACCACCCCGTAGGGGTCCTTGCGGATGAAGGCCGAGTCCAGCTGCGTCACCTGCAAAAAAAAAGGTCCCACCTCAGTGCCATTCCCGAAGCCACTCTGCCCCTTTTCATTTTGTCTCCCCCTCTTCCCTCCCCAGGTCAGCCCGGAGCTGCTGCCCTACCAGGTTCTTGTCCACGTGCTCGTCCTTCATCCAGTGGGACAGGTTGTTAAGGGTGTTGTTGAGCTCGTTCTTGCAGAGGAGGATCTCAGTGAAATAGGCCTCAAAGGATGGCTGGGGACAGACATCACAGTAAGCATCACCCCAACACCGACCCCATCTCCTCCCCACCCACAGGAGACATCTGCCCCCCTGTTTGCCCACAAAGGGCAGAGCAGAAGCTATTGAGGAGAAGCGATCAAGCAGGAGTAGCCATTACCTCCTGCGGCCACTGGGGAACATCACAGTCACTGAAATTTTATGAAAACTGGTATTTGGCCAGAGAAAAAAAAAAAAAACACTATTGAATGTATTTTGGACCACACTGCTCTTGTACTGGTGCTTGTCCTTGTGGCCGCAAGTCACTGCACGCTGACCGCTTGGGCACAGGAGCTGGAAGCAGAGCCCAGCGCCTCCTCCCACGGCCCCCGCACAGGAGCTGGCCCCAAGAGCTCGCTTTGTTCAAACAGCAACACGAAGAAGAGCGAGCGCCTCGTGACTGCCCCGCGGGATGGAGCTCAGCCCAACGCCACCAGGCAGGAAAATCCCCGCAGCTCCCGGGGCTGCTGCGCCGAGCCGGCACGCAGCTGGGGCGGGCAGGTCGGGCAAGGTGCGGGGGAATTAAACAAACCCAGCAGGTTTCTGCGAGATAAACTGTCCCAACAGGCAGTGACTAAACTGACCATGACTCGGGAGCGGCGTGCGGGCTGGGCGTCAAGAGCCGGAATCGCAGGGGCTGCGCAGGCATTTCCTGCGCGCCCAAATCCTCTCCGCTGACATACCCACGGCACAGCAGCGCGGCCGAGGCCCGCTCGTGGGGGAAAAGCACAAAGGCACCAGGAGTGAGTTTGGCAGGCTCAGGAATGCCCCATCACCCTGGAGAGCAAAGCTCTTTGTGCTATTAAGGCGAGTCTGCAAAGCCCTGGACCTCTGATGCTCCCAGGAGGCTCCAGCACCGAGCCCCACTTGAGGGACCTTTGGGTCCCCGGCAGCTCCCGAGCTCCTCGATGTGCCCGGCAGAAGCAACGGGGCCGCTCTCAGTGCGGGCAGCCGCTTACAGCACTGAGAGGATGAGGAAATCGCTGGTGAAGATGGGCCCACTGAGGCTTTTGGTGGGACACGAAGGGTGGCTGTGTGATGGGACATTAAGTCTGAGGTCACCCAGGTGCCTTCGATCATCGGCGGAGAGAAACCGGCACCGCTGCGGGCGAGGCACCCACCTGGGTGCGTAAGAGCAGATGAATTGTCCATCTAGCTATGAAGGCCTGCCTGCATAACAAGCGTATTACTAGACAACCGGCCCTAATTACATACAATTAGGAGAGGTGAACGACGCACTTGGAGTGCCGATGCGTATCTACCCCCGGCTGAAGCAGAAGGTTCTCACCCCCAAACAAACAAGGCAATTAGGAGCCCCGGGAGATTTCGGGCGGGCACGGCCACCGCACTGATGCGTGCATAGATGTGGTCCTGATGAGCCAAGCGCTGCCGCAGCCAGATAAGCTCAGTTACGCTGCACCGGGGCAAAACACCCCAAGGAAAACCTTTCCTCACACCGCGCGACCAAAGCACGCAGGTGACTGTCGAGCTGCACGACACATCAAGAAAGGAAGAAGCAGGAAAAGGGTCCTGAAGCGCTGAGCAGAGAACACATCGAGGAGGCTCCCTGCCTCCTTGAGAGATGATCTGAGAGATTCTGGGGTGCCGCAATCCCCAAAGCCACAGCAGGTCCCTGCCCACGCCACGGCACCGTGCAAGAGAAATTGGTCCCCGTGCCGCTGGCACGCAGGAGGAATGTGCAAGGCCAGCACGTTGCACAACGCCGGTAATCCCGGCTGCCATCGGGATGGCAAGGAGCTCCCCGGGACACAGCCTCCGCACCTGGGACTCTGTGAGGCCACCTGAGGCACGGCGCTCGTGGTGGGTGCCAGGGGGAAGCTCGGTAATGCCGAGGCTCCCACCTGGCACTGGACAACACGGGGAAATGGGACAGGGCGAGTGGCACTGAGCCCGTCCAGCAGTGTGGCCCCTTGTGAGCTCCAGCTAATCCCAGCTCGAGAGCTCTGCGGGGACCCAGCACCTATGGGTGCCCCGTGCCAGCCCGCAGCACACCACGGGGGATGCAAGAGCCTACTGAGGGGACCCTGATGCCCAGAGCCCCACACCTGCACCCAGGAGGATAAAAGACCCAGAGAAGGGGGTTTTGGGGACCCCGACGAGGCAACCACAGCGCGCGGCTGCCAGTTCCTCTCACCTTGCCCATGTCCAAAGCGGTGGCCTCCAGGATGTCCTGCTTCTTCTCCTCCAGGAAGCGGCCCAGGGCCTCCAGCTGGGCCAGGCGGTACTCCAGGGGCCGCGTCTTCCCTGAGAGCCAGGCTGCCCGCAGGTGGCTCACCAGCCCCGCGTAGGGGTTCCCGCTGTGGGGATGCGAGCGTCAGAGGGATCCAGCCCTGCTCTCACCCCCGGTGCTCCGGGTGATGAGGGACAGGAGCTCCATGTGCCCACCCAGCACCCCCACAGCACCCCCTGCCCACCTCCCTGCTCCCCCCAGCCCCTCGCTCTCACCACACGGTGCTGCAGACCACCGGTCCCTTCGGGATGGCACCACCAGAGCCACCGCCTGTGGCCACCCCCGGGGACGTGCTTGCCACAGCCCGGGGGCTGCTGCACGGGGGGCTCATGGGGGTGCTGCATGCTGGGTTGTAGGAAGGAGCTGCCGGTCTCCACAGGCCCTGGGGAGAGACGTGAGGCCGGTTACGGTGCTGGGAGACGAGATCTGCGCCCACCCCGCTGTGGAGAAGCCCCGGAGATGCTGGCGTGACCTCAGGGGGAGCCACCCCAGCAGCACCCGGCCCGCAGCACCTCTGAAGGTGGCTGGGATGCTCGAGGCTGTCCCGGCTGCGGCGTGACTCAGCCCAAGCAGCAGCCGGAGGCTCCGGTGCGCCCGGCGGGAGATGTTTGGGATTCCCGGGACATTCTCACGCGCCAGCCTCCGGCCATGGGCCTGTCCTGCCGACACGGGGTCACCCCGAGGGATGGGGGATGCCCAGAGCCCCCCCCGATGTGAGGCAGCATCCCAGGTGGCCCCAAAGGGATCCCCATGGACCCAGGTGTGGGGCAGCAGCGGTGCTGCCCCAGCACGCTTTTGGGCAGGGCACGGCATGAAGATGTGCCCAGACACGGGGCGCAGAGCCACGACCCCACGTCTGCTCCCAGTGCCCCAATCCGTGCCCGATTCACCCACCCTTCCTCAGGTGAACCCCGCAGTGGGGTGCCCCACAGTGAAGCCAGGCTGTGGGGCAGCCCAGCGCTGCGCAGGGGGCCCGGAGGCACCTACCTGTGGGGCTGAGCGGTGGCGAGAGGAGCGCGAGGCCGGGCTGGCACTGCTGAGGTTTGGGGCGTCCCTCCTAAATGCTGTGGGGCAGGTGGCCTGGCCCCATGGCCAGGGGCGGGCGGGACGGTGCCCCGCCTCCGTGGGGCTGGCAGTGGGGAGACAGCACCCCGCCTCCGTGGGGCTGAGGAGCCCGGGATGGGATCTCCCCCATGGAACAATGGGGCTGGGGAAGCCCTGTTGCCCCCAAAGCATCACCATCAGCCCTGACACACAGACACCCCACAGAAACCCCATAGAAACCCCACAGAAACCATTCACCCTGTGTCCCAGAGCCACCCTGACCCACAGGCACCCCACAGCCACCCCTCACCCTGCCCCCCAGCATCGCCCCGACACACTGACACTGCTCATCCTGTCCCCTAGGGCCACCCCGACCCATGGGGACCCCATGGGGACACACCACCAGCCAGCCCCTGACCCCATCCATAGGGCTGCCCGCTGCCACCCCATCACCACTGGGGTGAGCTCGCCCCATGCCTGCCTCCCCTCTGCCAAACTCCCCGAACGCCCTAATTAATTACCCCGCTTCGTAAACAGGAAGGCAGCAGCCCTGCCCCATGCGCTGCGCCGTGCTCAGCCCCACAGCGATGCTCCCCAGATCCCGGGGAGTGCAAACCCCAAAAGGGGCACGGATTCACCCCAAACCGGTGCCGTGATTGAGGCGCCCCCACCTCGCTGCGGGACCCTCCCGGCCCGTGCTCCCCTCTCGGTGAACAGCGGGGTGGTGTGGGGGTGCTGGCAGCCACCCCCCTGTTGGGGACACCTGCGGGGACATTTGGGTTCGTGGCACCTGGGTGCGCCCCGGGGCCCCGCACCCCGAGCTGGGACGTGCCCAGGGTGGGGACGCTCTGCGTGGCCCCCAGGGGATGGAAAAAAACAGGGGGGGGTCCAGCTCTGCCCCCAAAGACCCAGGCAGAGGGGGCTGCGTGTCCTACGACGTGGTGGGCACCCAAATTTGGGGTGGGGGGCAGAGCGCGGGGCTGCACCCTCAGACATCGCCCCAAATCGGGGTGGCAGAGGGTTGGGGAGCTGGGGGGCAGCAGGGGGTGGTTTGGGGGCGCGGGGGGGTCCCGGTGCGGCTCCTTTAAACGCCCCCGGTCCCGCCCGCCCCGTCCGAAAGAGGAAGCGGCGGCGGCTCCGCCCCGGCCGGCCCGAGAGCGGCGGCGGGTCCGGGGTGCCGGTACCGGGGGCACGGGGCTGGGGGAACGGGGTGCGGGGTTTGGGGTGCCCAGTGCAGGGATTGGGGGTGCGGGGCACGAGGGTGCGGGGTTTGGGGGCGCACGGCGTGAGGATGGAGAGAGAAGGGGCGCAGGGTTCGGGGATGGAGGGCGCAGGGTTTTGGGGTGCCGGGTCTGGGGGCGCAGGGTTTTGGGGTGCAGAGTGTGAGGGTGGAGAAAGAAGGGGTGTTTGGGGGTGCTGGGTTTGGGGGTAGCCTGCAAAAAGGTGCAGGATTTCGGGGTGCAGGGTGCAATGTTTGGGGGTGCAGGGCCTGGGGGTGCCCGGCACAAGGGTGTGGGGTTTGGGGGTGCAGTGTGTGGGGACAGAGGAGCGATGGGTGCAGAGTTATGGGGTGCAGGGTTATGGGGTGCGGGGTTATGGGGTGCCAGCGTAGGGGTGCTGGATGTGGGGGTGCAAAGCATGCAGGTGCAGGGTCTGGGGATGCAGGGCACAAGCAGCGCAAGGTTTTGGGGTGCCAGGGTCAAGTGCAGGATTTTGGGGTGTGGGACACACATGGCAGCCCCCTGACACCCCCGGTCCGCCCCACAGACGCAGCGATGGAGGAAGACCCCAGCCGCTGCCAGGATGCGGCCAAATTGGCAGCGGGCGAGGGGCTGGGCGCCGAGGTGCAGGTGAGGAGGGGGCACACGAGGCCACGGGGGGGGCTCCCCACTTGTGGTGGCACCCCAAGGGATGACCGCGGGGGTGCCCGCAGCTGGACGACGTGGTGGGGACGCACCCCGAGTACAACGAGGAGGAGGAGGAGCAGAAATATTTCCGCCGCAAGCGCCTCGGCGTGGTGAAGAACGTGCTGGCCGCCAGCCTGGCCGCCACGCTCACCTACGGCGTCTACCTGGGTACGGCCCCAACCCCTTGGGGACCTCCCCTTGGAGACCCACAGCAATTTGGGGACCTTGTAGAGGGGCAGCGGTGTGACTGGCCACTCGGGGCCCCCCCAGGCCTGCTGCAGATGCAGCTCATCCTGCACTACGACGAGACCTACCGGGAGGTGAAGTACAGCAACATGGAGCTGGAGGACATCGACCGCAAGGTGCTGATGGGCATCAACGTCACGCCGGTGGCGGCGCTGCTCTACACGCCCGTCCTCATCCGCTTCTTCGGCACCAAGTGGACCATGTTCCTGGCCGTGGGGATCTACGCCCTCTTCGTCTCCAGCAACTACTGGGAGCGCTACTTCACGCTGGTGCCCTCCGCCGTGGCCATCGGGGTGGCCATCGTGCCCCTCTGGGCCTCCGTGGGCCACTACATCACGCGGTAGGCAGCGGGGGGCGGGTGGCAGGTGGGATCGGGACGCGGGCTGACCCCCGCGTCCCGCTGCAGGATGGCACAGAAGTACTATGAGTACGCCAACTACAAGGAGGAGCACGTGCAGGAGCAGCGGCAAGCGCCACGGGGCGCCTGCAGCACCTACATCGTCGTCTTCCAGACCATCTTCTACGCCTGCTTCCATGTGAGGGCTGGCGGGGCGCGTGGTGGGGGATTAGGGACGAGGCGGGGACACACAGGGGACAGCTTGAGGCTGAGCGCCCCCTCTGCTCCATGTCCCGCAGCTGAGCTTCGTCTGTGCGCAGATGCCCATGCTCTTCTTCCTCAACAACTACCTCTACCAGCTCAACCACACGCTGTACGGGGTGAAGCACTGCGGTGAGCGCAGGGGGCGACTCGGGGTGGCAGGTGCCGTCCCGCTGGGCGCTGAGCCGCGGCGTACACCCCGCAGGGACGCTGAGCCACGGCACGCTGCCCGGCTTCAACAAGACGGTGCTGCACAGCCTGCCCCGCAGCGTCAACCTCATCATCGTGGAGAGCGTCCTGATGGCGGCCGCCTTCCTGGCCATGCTGGTGGTGAGTGCGGGGCCAGGAGGGAAGGGCCTGGTGGCCACCGGCACCTCACCGGCCGCTGCCACCGTCAGGTCCTGCTGCTGTGCGGCTCGGCTTACCGGCCCACCGAGGAGATCGACCTGCGCAGCATCGGCTGGGGGAACATCTTCCAGCTGCCCTTCAAGCACATGCGGGACTACCGCCTCCGCCACCTCCTCCCCTTCTTCATCTACAGCGGCTTCGAGGTGCTCTTTGTCTGCACCGGCTTCTCCCTGGTACGACGCGGGGTGGGGATTGGGGATGGCAGCAGGGGGACGGCGTGGCCGGGTGATGCTGAGCCTCTCTTCGCTGCAGAACTATGGCGTGTGCGCCCTGGGGCTGGAGAAGCTGGCGTACCTCCTCATGGCCTACGGCTTCTCCGCCTCCGTCTGCTCCAGCCTGGCCCTCTGCACGCTGCGCCTGCGGCGGCAGTGCCCGCTGCTGGCCGGAGCCTTCGTCCACGCCTGCCATCCTGGTGACGCTCTTCTGCTGGGCACCCGAACCCCGGCACGTGGTGCAGGCGCCGCTGCTCTACTCCATAGCCGTGCTCTGGGGCATGGGCAGCGCCCTCAACAAGACCGGCATTAGCAGTGAGTAAAGGAAGGTGCCACCGCAGCTTCGTGTCCCCTGGTGGGACCAGGTTGTCCTCTCCTCGTGACCTCAGCGTGGCGGTGGGCACACGTGGTGCCCGGAGAGGGGACGGGGACACTGACACCCCGCACCCGTCTCCTCCCGCAGTCCTCCTGGGCATGCTGTACTGAGGACAAGGAGCGCCAAGACTTCGTCTTCACCATCTACCACTGGTGGCAGGCGCTGGCCATCTTCACCGTCTACCTGTGGTCGGGGCTGCCCATGAAGGTGAGCGGGGACGGGACGGGACGGGACGATCCCGTGCCGCGTGGGTCCGGCGGGGTCGCTGAGCGCTTCCACCCCGCAGGCCAAGCTCTCCATCATGCTGCTGGCGCTGGGGCTGGCGGCCGGCTCCTACCTGTGGATGGAGCGCAAGCTGGCGCAGCGCGTCGCCTACCGCCTGCCCCGCATCCCCCGCCCGCGCCACAAGATGAAGGGATACCGCTACCTGGAGGATGACGACTCCGACGAGACCGCCTCCGAGGGCGAGGGGGCGAGCCGCCGCCAGGATGAGGATGATGATGATGAAGATGACCACCAGCACCCGGCTGAGGCCGACGGCGGGGACGAGCTGCCGAAAGATGAGAGGGAGAGGATGGGTTAGATGTGGGCTGCGCTTGAAAAGCCCAAATCCCGCAGAAAGCCCAAATTTCACAGCAAAGCCCAAGTCCTGCAGAAAGCCCAAATTCCCATGGGAATCCTAAATTCGCACAGAAATCCTAAATCCCTGTAGGAATACCCAAACCCCTCAAAAAGCCCAAATCCCACAGGAATCCCATCAAGCGCAGTTGGTGCAACGCGACAGGCTCCGGCGACACGCGGCCGCCGCCGCGGCCGCGCGCGATGTCGCGACAGGCTCACGCCTCCTTTCGCGCGCGCGCGCCGCTCCCGGAGCGCCGGCGCGGGCGGGGGAGGGGGCGTGGCCAGAGGGAAGGGCGGCGTGGCCAAGCGGGGGCGTGGCCAAAGGCGTGGAGGGGGCGTGGCCGCGTGTTCCCGCCCGGCCGCCGTCGCTCGGTGCCGCTGCCCCCGCCCGGGCCGGCCGCCAGCATGGCGGGAGCCTGGCCACGGAGCCCCGGCGGCGGCGGCGGCTGCGGGACGACGGGGAGTGACCACACACCTCGTGCGAGCAGGTGCCGGGGGGCTGGGGGCACGGGCACGGGGGCTGGGGGGGCGGGGGGTGAAGGGGGGTGAAGGGGGTTTGGGGCTGGGGAAAGGGGGTTGGGGGCTGGGGGGGTTGGGGTGGGGGGCTTGGGGGTTGAGGGCATGGGAGGGGGCTGGGGCTTGCGGGGCTTGGGGTGGTGGGGTTGGGGATTTGGGGTCTGGGGACCAAGGGGTCTGGGGCCAAGGGGTTTGGGCTGGGGAGGGCTGGAGTAGGGGGCTGGGGGCTGGGGGGGCTCAGGGTTGGGGGTCTGGGGGCTTGAGGGGCGCTGCAAGGAGGCGGAGGGCAGGGGGGGAAGGGGTGAAGGGTCTGGGGGCAGAGGGGGCTGTGGAGCCTGGAGCCGGGGTCCCAGCTCCAAGGGGTGTTGGGGCCGGTACAAGGGGGCAGGGGGAACGCGCCCCACACCCCACTCCTGGATGCCCCCCTCGGGGTGAAAGGCGCCGCTGTTTTAAACCCCATCTGCGCCTCTTGCCTCAGTGCCCTCAGCCCCCCGGGACGCAGTGTGGGGCAGGGAGGGTTCCGCGAGGCTTTGACCTTAACCCAAAACGGGTGGGAGCTGCTGGAAGGCGCGGCGGGGCCGGTTATGGGGGTGGCAGCTCCGGCGGGGGGCTGAGCCCGGTGCTGGCGGTGCCCGCAGAGCAAAGTGGAGGAGGTGGTGCAGGAGGTGTTCGACGCCTACAAGACCAACCACCACGCGCGCAGTAAGTCCCCGCGCTGGGGAGTTGGGATCAGGATTAAAAAAAAAAAAAAAAAAAGCCCAAATTCTGGGCTCTGGTGGCTAAAGGGTCCCCGGGGCTGGAGCTGGCGGCGCTGCGACGCCCTGCCTGCCTGCAGATTGGTGCTGCACGGGAGAAGCACTTCCACTACCGAAGAGAGCCTCCGGCAGCTGAGCGAAGCCTCGAGGTACCGGGCACGGCCCCGGCGTCCTGCCCCGCGGCTCCCCTTCGGCCTCCGGGCGCTGCTTTAATTATCCCCGGCGTGTTTCCCACCCCGAATCCCTCGCTGTTGGGTGGCCCTGGGCAGGTGGAGAGGTGGAGCGGTTCCCGGTGCTGCTTGCGGGTCCCCTTGGCTCGTGCCTGTCCCACGGGGTGCCCCAGAGCTCTGCGGTTTTGGGGTGCTGCCAGCCCAGCTCCCCTCCTCCTGTCCCCGCAGTGTCTGGACGCCAGCCGCCCCTGCTCTGCTACTGGATCCTGCACAGCTTGGAGCTGCTGGAGGAGCCCATCCCCGACGCCGTCGCCTCTGAGTAAGTCCCCCCCCTGGGTCCTGGGGGGCACCGGGACCCCCGCCCCCGAGCTGTGTCCGACTTGCAGCTGCGCCCACGTGAGCCCGGAGGTGCCCGCTCCCGGTCCGCCAGGGCCACCTCCCGCCATCCTCGTGGCCCTGGCGCCGGCACAAAAGTGCTTTGTGTCTCTCGGGCCATCAAATGCCACCATTCTTGCTGGCCGGCACGGCTCTGCTGTCTCGTGACAGAGGGGGGAGATGGGGGACCTGGCTTCCACCCTCCTGGGGGGCACGGCTGGGTGTCCCCCTTCTCCCTCGCTCAGTGGGGGACCCGTCGCCCACGGCGGTGGCTACGTCCTCTTCAGCCCACCCCACCTGGGTGGCCGTTTTGGGGTCCCCCTCCCCAGCTGTTCCTCTCGTCCCCCATCGTCTGCCAGTTCCTGAGCCGCTGCCAGAGCCCCCACGGCGGCTTCGGGGGGGGGCACCGCTGTCGCAGCACGCCCCTCGCACCTCGCCCCGACCTACGCCCGCCGTCAACGCGCTCTGCACACTCGGCACCGAGGAGGGCGTTCGGCGTCATCGACAGGTAGAGCGGGGGGCCGGCATGGCACACGTGGGGGCGCAGCGGGGTGCAGGGGGGGCCAGCTCGGTGCTGCCCCACCACATCCCGCAGGAAGAAGCTCCTGGAGTACCTGCAGGCGCTGAAGCAGCCCGACGGCTCCTTCCTCATGCACATCGGCGGCGAGGTGGACGTCAGGTGGGTGAGCGCCCCGCAGCGCATCTCTGCCCCATTTCCCCCTCCCCAAGTGCGGTGTGGGGTGAGCCCGACGGAGCCCCCCCGGGGGCTTGGAGGATGGGGGCGGGCGCTCCCCGCAGCCCCCAGCCCCCTTTTCCCACAGGAGCGCCTACTGCGCCGCCGCGGTGGCGTCGCTCACCAACATCCTCACCCCCGCGCTCTTCGCCGGGACGGCTGAGTGGATGCCAGGTGAGGAGCCGGCCGGGGGGCGCAGGGGACGTTGTGTCCCCCCTGCTGTGGGTGCCGTCCTCATTGTCACCCCTGTGCAGGTGCCAAAACTGGGAGGGAGGCATCGGCGGGGTGCCGGGCATGGAAGCCCACGGCGGGTACACCTTCTGCGGCGTGGCGGCGCTGGTTATCCTGAAGAAAGGAGCAGCTGCTGAACCTGCGCAGCTTGCTGGTGAGCATTTTGGGGGCGCCCCGGGGTGCTGGGGGACCTCGTCCCCGTTCTCACGGTGTCCACCCGCTCCTCTCTGTCCCCCCCCGCAGCACTGGGTGACCAGCCGGCAGATGCGCTTCGAGGGCGGCTTCCAGGGCCGCTGCAACAAGCTGGTGGACGGCTGCTACTCCTTTGCTGGCAGGCTGGGCTGCTGCCCCTGCTGCACCACGCGCTGCACGCGCAGGGTGAGCCGGGGCTGTGGGGAGGGGAGAAGTACCCGGTGGGCTCCCCAAAGGCTTTTTTGGGGCAGAAAGGGCTTGTGGGCAAGCATTCTGGTGTTTCCCGGGATCGGGGGAGGTTTGCTCTCGTCCTGAGGCCAACCCCGGAGGTGTTTCGCAGCGCCCGCCTTGCCCCGCAGACGACGCGCGCGCTGGCATGACGCGCTGGATGTTCGACCAGGCGGCGCTGCAGGAGTACATCCTCCTGTGCTGCCAGTGCCCGGCCGGCGGGCTGCTCGACAAGCCGGGAAAGTGAGTATCGAGGCGGGGTGGGGGCAGCCTCGCGCCCCCCAAGCCCCGTTAACTCAGCGCCTCGGGTTCCCCCCGCCAGGTCCCGGATTTTTACCACACCTGCTACTGCCTGAGCGGGCTGGCCATCGCCCAGCACTTCGGCAGCGGCAACCTCCACCAGGAGGTGGTCCTGGGCGTCCCCGAAAACCGCCTGGTAGGTGCTGGCATCGCTTGGGGGGTGCCGGAGGTGGGTAGGGCACCCCCCCGGGCCTGTCTCAGGCGCTTTCTCTCCTCCCCTCCGGCAGCAGCCCACGCATCCCGTCTACAACATCCACCCGGAGAAGGTGGTGAAGGCGGTGCTGCACTTCTCGCAGCAGCCCGTGCCCGGCCTGGAGGTGGCGGGGTAAGGGCCCCGCTCCTTTCGGACGGCGCGGCCGAGCAGAGCGAGGTCCTCAGGGTGCTAGCCAGACCAAAAAAAAAAAGCTGCCGCCCTCCCGGCGGGAGCTGAGGGCACCAATAAAGAGCAGAGCTGCCGCCCGCCCTCGGCTGCGTGCGGGGGCGAGGGGGAGCGCGGAGCCAGCCCCAACCCCGACGCGCAGGGAGCTGCGGACCCCCCGCAAGAAGAGGCAGCCACCACGGGAAGGATAAAATAAGTTTTTTTGTTTTTATTATTTATAGTCTTATAGTAAAGGGAAGCCTTAACTTGCAAGACGACTCTGGGCAGTATGTACAACATACTTTTAGATCCATGGAATGAACGGCGTTAAAAGGGGGGGGGGAACGGGATGGGGTCACCTACTGGGGGGGGCGGTTCAGAAAATGACACAAGGGTGGGAGGAAAAGGGGCTGGGGGATGCGGGAGGAGGGAGGTGGGGGACGGGAAGGACGCAGACCACCCAGCCCGAGCCCTGCAGCTCTGTGCCGTGGAGGGCGGTGGGCGCCGTCCCCGCGGCGCGGCGGGGGCCAGGTGGAATTGCACAGGCAGAAAATAAATAGCGAGACCCCCCGCGGGCGGGGGCGGGTGGGGGACGGGGGCTGCCCGTCTCCTGCACAGCCTGGCGCTCAGCTCTGGGCTGCGGTGGTCCCTGGGTATAAATAGAAATGCTCATATAAAATCGAAGAGGAGGTGTTGGGGTGGGGGGAGCGCGGAGAGGGGGGCTCGCTAGCGGCGGGGGGGCGGTGGGGGCATCTCCGCGCGGTCCCCAGGCCCCCCCAAATCCGTCGGGGCGCTGGGGGGCTGCGAGGCCGCAGTCCGAGAGGCCCCGAGGAGAGAAGGACGAGTCCTTACGGGGCCGGCGGGAGGGCGCAGGCCCGCCGCGCGGGGGCGGCAGTGGCGGCGGGCGGGGGGGGCCTAGCTGGCCTCCATGCGCAGCTTCTTCCTGTTCTGCGGCTCCTCGGGCTCCGAATCGGAGCTGGAGTCGGAGCCGCCGTCGAAAGCGGAGATGGCGCTGCCCTTGGGGTTGGTGTAGAGGCTGTTGTCCGACGAGGGGTAGTTGGCCTGCAGCTGGGCGCTCGACCGGGCCTTCTCCAGGGCGCGCACTGCGAGGCAGGGCCAGGATGTGTCACCCCGGGGGGTGCCACCGTGTCCCCGTCCCCCCCTTTTTTTCTGCCCCGCTCACCTTGCTGCTCCAGCAGCGCGTTCTGCCGCTTGAGGTCGTCGATGTCCTGCTGGTGCGTGTGGTTTTTTCCGGCGCATGTACTGGATGTACTCTGTGGCTTTGTCCAGGATTTGGGCCCGGGATGCCTGTAGCAATAGTGGGAAGCGGGCACGGGGCGAAATAAAGACCTCGGCTCCACGGGGCAGCTGCTGTGGGCTCTTCTGCTGCAGCAGCGGGGGTTTTGCTGCGTGGAAGCACAGCGGGATGCCCCCCAACTCCTCTCGGGGACCCTACACAGATCCCCAGGGGGTGGGCACCCCGCAGGGGCCACGCTTTTGGGGATGCCACCACCCTCGTGGCTGCGCTGTCACATTTCTGCCCGGCCGTGCCATCGCCCTGCCCGTGCCAAGCCCTCGGCTTGGTGCCGTTGTGCCGGGCGAGGCAGGAGGAGGAAGCAAAGCCACCTGAGGTGGGGAGGGGGGGCAGGGAGAGAAGCTGGAACACCCAAAAACACGCCCCCCCCCGCCCCCCCCAGCCCTGCACCGCGCTCCACAACCTCACCTTCTCTCCCTGCAGGGAGGGCACGGAGTCCCGCAGGCTGTGGAAGCTGTCCTTGATGTGGTCCCGCCGCTTGCGCTCCAGCGCGTTGTGGTGGGCCCGTTTGTCTGCCTGCAAGGGGGGGGACGGGGACGACAGACAGACGGACACGCCGTGTGACCCCGGGTCACGGGGTGTGTGCGGGAGAGGGTGACGGGGCCGCCCCGGCAGCGCTTTCGGTTTCCCCGTGGCACGGCCCGGCCCGTGGGTGGCTTCCTGCTGCAGGGGGAAGCGCTGGAGCCTGCAGCAGAGCCGGGGGGGCCCCGGCTGGGGGCAGCCCTAAAAGGGGGGGCAGCAGCTTTGCCACCCCCCCCTCCCCATCATGACACTCACGCCCTTACCCTCAGGAAGAAAAAGGCACAACCCCCTCGTATCCCCCCCCACAAGCCCCACATCCCGTGCACCCCCAAAAGAGCCGGTGTTGGCTGTCCCAGCCCCCTGTTGTGGGATCCCCTTTAAACAGCCCCACCCCCAGGACACAAACCCCATGGGTGCCCTCCCGACAGTCAGTGATCCCTGGGCAGAACCCTCAGATTCCCCCCTGAACACCCTCCTCACCCCAAAGCCACCGCCCCACAGGCATCCCCCAAAACCATAACCCAACACAGCCTCCAGATCCCCCCCGATACAGCCCGTGGATCTCCCCCCACACCTCCCCAAATAACAGCCCCAAGTTCCCCCATAATCCCAGACCTGCCCCAGCCCACCCCAATAGCAGAGCCCTCAGATCCCCATAATCACCCCCAGGCCCCTCCACCTCCCCAATACCACCCCCCACCCCCAATACCCCCCCAATACCACCCCCCCACAATCCCCAACCCCCCCCAATAGCAGACCCCCCCCCCCAGAGCCCCCAGATCTCCCCCCAGACCCCCCCACCCCTAATAGCACCCCTAGAGCCCCCCTCAATAGCAGATCCCCAACCCCATAAACACCCCCAGTACTTCCTACCCCCTTGAAACCACCCCTCCAGACCCCCCCAACATCAGAACCCCCAGATCCCCCCCAAACACCCCTAGACCTCCCAATACCCCCCAGACCCCCCCTAATACCTCCCAGACCCCTCCAACCCCCTCAGACCTCTTCAGGCCTCCCCCAGACTCCCCCAATACCCCCCTAACCCCCCTTCAGCACCCCCAGACACCCCCTAATACCCCCTACCCCCCCCAACACCCCCCAAGCCCCCATAACACCCCCCGACCCCTCCAACCCCCTTCAGGCCCCCATAACACCCCCCAGACCCCCTCCCAATCCCCCTCAGACCCCCCAACACCCCCCAGGCCCCTCCAATCCCCTCTCAACCCCCCTCAACCCCCCCCAGACCCCTCCAACCCCTTCAGCCCCCTTAACTCCCCCCAGACCCCCCCCACCAACCCCCCACCCCCCCCCCCCCCCGTACCGCTGACTGGAAGCGGGGCTGCTCCTCCTGAGGGGGCCGCAGGCCGAAGGAGGGGTGGGGGGGGAGTGCGGAAGGAGGCGTGTGGAGGGGGGGGAGGGGAGAGAAACCAAGCGTTACCGCCCCGCCACCGGCACCACCAGCACCCGGCAGCGTCGGGGGCCGCGGGGAGCGGCGGACTCACGTCGCTCTCCACCTCGATGTCGTCGTTGTCGCTCATCGCTGCCGGCCGGGGAGCCGCGGGCCGCGCCGCCACAACAACAGCGCGCAGCGCGCCTGCGCCGCGCGGCCCCGCCCGCCCGCCTCAGCGCGCGGGGCTTGTGGGGCGGGGAGTCCGCAGGGGGAGAGCGGGGAGGGGAAAGGGAGGGGCGGGGCTGTATCGGGGACTACAATTCCCAGAAGGCAGCGCGGCGCATCGCGCGTTGCCCGCTGGGAGTTGTAGTCCCCCAGCCTGTATGCGGGAGGCCCGCCCGCTGCCTCAGGGAGGGCGGCGGGGGCGGCTCTGTGGGGCCGGGGGGCGGCGTCTCGGGAAAGGGGAGGAAAAAGGGGGGAGTCCGAGGGGGTGGGGGAGGTGTGAGGGGGTTGGGGTTTCTGGGGGGTTGGGGTTTTGGCAGGATTTGAGGGTTTGGTAGTTTTGGGGTTTTGGTAGGGGTTTGGGGTTTCTGAGGGATTTGGGGTTTCTGAGGGGATTTGTTTTGGCGGGGTTTGGGATCTCTGAGGGGATTTGGGATTTCTGAGGGGGGTTGGGTTTTTTGCGGGGATTTGGGATCTTTGTAGGGATTTGGGGCTTCTGGGGGGGTTGGGATATCTGAGGGGATTTGGGATTTTAGCAGGGGTTTGGGATTTCTGAGGGGGTTTGGGGTTTTTTGCAGGGGTTTGGGATTTTTGCAGGGATTTGGCGTTTCTGAGGGAGTTTGGGATTTCTGTGGGGTTTTGGGTTTCTGAGGGGATTCGGGATTTTTGCGTGGATTTGGGATTTTTTGTGAGGTTTGGGATTCCTGGAGGGGATTTGGGATTTTTGCAGGGTTTGGGACATCTGGGGATTTGGGATGTCTCTGGAGATTTGGGCTTTCCGCAGGGATTTGGGATTTCTGTGAGGTTTTGGGCTTTCTGAGGGATTTGGGATTTTTGTGGGATCAGGCATTCTGTGGAGATTTGGGAGGCTTGTGGGGATTTGGGCTTTCTGAGGGGTTTGGGATGGCTGTGGGGATTTAGGATTTCCATGCGAATTTGGGTTTGCTGTGGTGCTTTGGAATCTCTGTGGGATTTGGGATTTCTGTGGAGATTTGGGCTTTTTGAGGGGTTTGGGATACCTACAGGGATTTGGGCTTTTTGAGGGGTTTGGGATATCCCTACTAGGGATTTAGGATTTCTGTGGGGATTTGGGCTTTCTGAGGGGTTTGAGATACCTACAGGGATTTAGGATTTCTGTGGGGATTTGGGCTTTCTGAGGGATTTGGGATTTTTGTGGGGATCAGGTATTCTGTGGAGATTTGGGCTTTCTGAGGGGTTTGGGATGTCTGCGGGGATTTAGGATTTCCATGCGAATTTGGGTTTGATATGGTGCTTTGGAATCTCTGTGGGATTTGGGATTTCTGCAGGGATTGGCTTTTTGAGGGATTTGGGCTTTTTGAGGGGTTTGGGATTCCTACAGGGATTTAGGATTTCTGTGGGGATTTGGGCTTTTTGAGGGGTTTGGGATACCTACAGGGATT